AATGCATTTTGAGAAACGCTCGTGTGTTTGAAGGCTTACAATTCAAATTGGATTCAGTGCAAAAACCTTGTACAATAGGTATCAACCGAGTGCAGTGCAGCAGTATTTGCAGGCGTGTGGCCGGCGCGGTGTTGCAGAGCGTGCAGTCGGCGCTGGCGGCCATCGAGGAGCGGCTGCGCGCGCTGGAGCCGCCGGCGCTGGCGCACGCCCACGCGCGCCGCCTCGACGCCCTGGACGCGCGCATCGCCCGCCTCGACGCCCTGCTGCAGCTGCGCCTCGACCGCCTCGCAGAGGTCAGCGCCCCCCTCCCCCACCCTTCCCTCCGCGCGCCCTCGCCTCGCTCCCCAACAAGGGAACGAAATCTCTTCTTCTTCTTCTTCTTCTATTATTATTGTCATGTGGCACATTTCGATACGAAATAAAACGCAATACAAGCAGAAGCAAGTTATACTTTTAATGATGCAATTGCAACATATGGTAGCGTAACGAAATGAGTGCGGCCCCTCTTGCTAACTTTTATCTGAGCCCCCGTTATAAAAATGTTTAGCACAGGTAGTGTTATTAATAAAAATATCCTTTAACAAATTCATACTCATCAGTCATGATTAATAACCAATAGTGAAAAATCTTTCGCTACAATTTAATTTTATAAAATTAAGACTGTTACAAAACCTAAATGAATTGCTAGCCTTCATTGATTTAGAAACAGTTACGTAAGCTACCGCAGCGGAAAAAAATAGTTCTGGAAGATGCTGTCTTGAATCTTTTATTGTATCAGTGGCAAAGTATTATAGAAAGGATCAAGTAATTAATATTTTCTACAATCGCAAAACCTTCCGCCTTTAAAAAACGGGTCCCTCTTTTCCCTGGGCCGCCCGCATTTAGGGCCTCGCGGGTGCGAACGTTACGCCACTGAATAGATACGATTGACAGTGACAATAGATACTATTGCCGTATTTTACTGGTTTCTAGGCAAAAAACGCATTGCACAAGCATAAAAACACTCCAAAAACACGTAAATTGTTCATATTTACAAAATACAATTATATATTTGTTCAGAAAGAGAAATAAACCCAGAAATTAAAAAGCGGTCGAATGTGTACATTGAGTGTCTTTTTTATTTCTGTGTTACTTTTTCTTTCTGAACAAATATATTAATTTATTTTGCAAATAATAAACAATTTACTTGTTCCTTAAGCGTTTCTATGCTTCTGCAATGGACATTTTTGACTACAAAGCATTGTTTCAAACAACCTTTGAGTGCTTATTGCAGCTCGACCATTCGGAATATCCGAATCCGTTCATTAGACAAAACACGCTCCAAACTGCCTTAAGAGCGTTTCCTCGCGGGTTTCCTCCCCGGTGAGTCTGAGCGCAGCGCGTGTGCGTTGCAGAGCGCGAGTGCGCGCCACCTGAAGGAGGAGCTGGCGACGGAGCAGCTGGGCCGCTCCCTGGACGCGGCCTTCGAGCGCCTGCACCACCGCCTGGGCTTCATGGAGACGCGCCTCGAGGTGGCGCTCGCCAAACTCCAGGTCCGATCGCTTTCACGCCAAAGCAGAGATAGCATCCGATACCTTCGACCCTCTGTAACAAAAGCTACACTTTCGCCCACATCCAAATATTAACATTTCCGCATAGTGGGAGGCTTGCTGTTGCTTCTCACTGTCCCAAAGCCCTTCATATGAAATCAGTAGCTTGTTTGCAGATGCAAATCGTTCATATTGTACGGTTGGGAACATTTCAACAAGTCTTGATATCCAATCTTACCGACAACCTTCGTTGCTTCCGTTACTCATAATTCCAAAACTTGAATTAAAAGAGATGCTAGGAGTAGCGGAGATTAAAAAACCTGCGCTGATTATTCTGCTCACACACTACGTCACTTTTACGTCAGGGTTTTCTGCGCTAACTGTTTTGATGTTCCCAACCTTTAACACAATTGGCCTTTTCGGTAAAAGGTTCGTCTTTGCATGTGCAATGGGGTCCCGTGTGATGACAGACGTCGCAGGACTCGCTGTCGACCCGCGTGGAGCGCGTGGATGCGGCGCTGGGCGGCGGATGCGGCGGGGGCGGCGGCGGCGCCGAACTGAGGCACCTCAAGAGCGGCCTGGACGAGCTGCGCAAGAGCGTGCACGACAACCACCACGGCCTCCTCAACTCCACCCTGGTGAGTGTTTGGCGGGCGACTTCGTGCGCGTCAACGGCAAACGTCATTCGTCCCGTAAGTGTAGGAAAGGCGGAGATCTTTCCCGGTGGATGGTGAGATCCAGCGCCGACCAATCCGTCCTCTTGCACGGTTTTCCTCAACCAGGTATCTTCCACCGGCGGGCACCGCCACAGCCGAGACAAGCTCTAAGGTCCCGACCAATCTCCGGCATGTGTGAGTGTAGTGCACGTAAGTATCAGTAAGGGGTGAGGAGAGGACAAGGTAGAGGAAAGAATGATAGCACGCGGGCCGTGGCCCGTTTGATAGTGTACTGCTCTGGCATTTCCTGGAGAAACATGGAAACTACCGATCACAGCAGCCGGCAATTATAAGAATTATCCTCCAGACTGCTACTGCATTCGGCCTAGCTATCTGGCTAGTGTTGAAGATCTTGCCCCTGTCGGGACTCGCCCCTAGAGCCTGGTGAATGGGCATCTGCCGTGCCGCAGGCATCTGCCGTGCCGCAGGCATTCGACCGTGTCCAGTCACTTGAACACGTAAACACCCGAAACCCCTTCCGGGCCCACTCACCTGATGTGTGGCTACAAGTACTCGTAGAGTGGAGCAAGATTTTCGAATTACGATTACAAAATTACATTTATAAAAAAATCCTAAATAAATTTTACAAATAAAATAAACATTTTTATCATTTGAAGAGCTCAAGTTGTTTCCCGTCAGTAGTAAAGCATGCGTCTATTGTTATCCAGGGCCGTAGTTTAGCAGCCAAACAAAAATGCAAACGAGTGAAGAGCGTCCCAAAATTTACGCAACATTTGAATTAATAATATAAAACACATTTTTTTAGATTATTACTATTTTTATTACATCACAAAGTACACAGAATAGGGTTGTGTTTGGAATAATATATCGGGCAAATGACCACGGCTTTGCTGGCACATAGGCACTCTTTTGTGGAAATTGCCCATTAGCAATTGCGAATAAATGTGGCCCGATTTCGAAAATGCAGCGTTGAATTTCCTCCTTTAATGCACGAGGTATTATGGACTTGTAGATCTTTGAATCCTCCAGCCAACGAAACAGTGACACGTTCTGAATGCATTTGTTTTTGGACAATCACTTGTGGGTTCTCTGAACCCCAAATACGGCAATTTTGACGATTAACAAAGCCAACAAGGTGAAAATACGATTTGTCGCTTAGGATAATTTTTTTCAAAAAATCAGGGTCCACTTGATGTTCAATAATCCATTCAATAAACTCTTCGCTGGGCATGGTCATTAGGCTTCAGTTCTTGTGTTAATTGGCCTTTGTAAGCACGGAGACGCATATCTCCAGTGAGTGTACGCTGTAGAGAGCTTCCTGACATTTGCGATTCTTGCCCACGACGCCGAACTGATGTTCCTGGGTTTCCACCAACACTGTCACGCACTACTTCGATATTGATGTTTGGACGACCAGTGTGTTTAGCTTCACCAGTTTATCTTGTCTTGCTGAATTTTTCAATAAGTATTTTCACAGTTAGCGAAGTTAAATCAATATATTGTACGAAATTTTCGAACTGTGGCCGTCAAACGTTCATAATTTGAGATATTGTTCAACAATGAAAACACTTTGTTCTGTCTGTACCGCTCCATTTGTACTAACCCTAGACTATATCATCTGTTACATTGTTTTATTTAGGATTGCCAACACTTTACTGCACAAATGACGGCAAATTTAAGTCTTGCGTTAATTTTGGGACACTCGTTACACGCAAGCTTAAGCCAGACTAGACGCAAGAAAATCCATGGTGATACATGACTAACAATCACTCACTGCAGCCTGCAACTTTCTTATCGAAGTGTTACACGCCGATGGTCGCCAAAGTTTCTCGGAAATTAAGGTTAAAGTTCACGACAATGATAAGTTGACGACTAGATATCACCAGTAATGAACGGAAAATGCTGATTTTTTAAAAATACATCTTTACACAAAAAATCCGTAATAAAATTCACGAAAGTGAAAAGAATAAAAAATATTTTGTGAAAATAGCAAACTATGTAAAATTTGTAATATAGTACACAATAAATGTTAAAGTGATATAATATTTTTTGTGATCGGTAATCTTTAAAATAATTACGGCTATTGACGTGAGTTAAAATAGTATTACCAAGCAGATATACCCGTCGTTGACGCAAGTCGGTTCTGCACAAAATATCCAGTATATTGTTTTACAAATTCGGAAACATTTAACACTTTTCGAAGCACAATGTCTAAACACCGGCCACACTATTACATTAAATTGTCTGAATTAGAAAAGGACGCGTCATTCTCTTCCAGTGCGAGCCCTCGCCGGCAGCCAGGGAAGCGAAGCGGAAGAACGAGACGGCGAGGGCGACTTTGGCATTTGGCGCTTCGCTTTATTACTTGCTCAAAATTGTCCTCTCGTTATATAAAGGCGTTTAATTTATATAACTATTCACACTTGGATAAATCCGTTCAACGGTGTTTGCTTTCATGTTTAGACAGCTGAAACTCGAAATATTCCGTTTCTTTCAAAACTCTGTAGGCACGACGCACGCCGCCTGCCCAGCGGTGGCAGCCGTGTCACGCAGCACATGCAGTGCGCCACAGAGACAGGACACAGTCCCGGTCACGACCTCTGCAGTCGAATGCCGCACGCGCTACTTTTTCGTCCATATTCACATGCACAATGACAATGATGTCTGCTCTTTTGTGGATGCAAGGCTGCGGTGGCGGCGGGGGACGGCGCGAGGCAGCGCCAGCTGGACAGCCTGGCGGCGGCGCTGGGCCAGCTGCAGGCGGAGCTCAACCGCACGCTGGCCGTGCAGAACGACGCGGAGGGCAACGGGGGCGGGGGCGGGGAGGCGCCGCTGCGCCACGAGCGCCACGCCTCGGCCTCGGCTGCGGCGGCAGCCACCTCCCTCCTCGGCGCCGTCGACCGACACGCCGCCAGTTTCGGTTCAAAGGTACTCCACGCCGACATTCTCAGCCACGCGCACCCAAATGCACCTCCAAATGGCCTTCATCTCTCCCAATAAAGAGTTCTACGTTCCTACTTCTCCACTACCGTTGCCGTAGACTTGACGTCAAATTGCCGAATGACATTTATTGAGTGACGTATGGAATTTGTGGCTTGGATGGAACCTTGGGTGTTGGAATGTATAAGAGCAGGAATCTCCGACACAGTGTGACTGATCTCCATGAAAGTTGGCACATTTACTTTTTTTCACGCAGAAGGTTTCTGTGCTGTAAATTTTGTTGTAACTCCACTACATGGCGCTAAAGAACAAAACTGCGCTTCACTTTAATTCAATTTCCGTTCAATCTGAGCTTCACCTGGGCATCAATGTTCCACTGCGCATTCAAACTACTGGCTCGCATTTATTCATAGTAAAGATCTTCTTTCCGTCGAAAAATTAACTACCATTATTTAAAATGGTCTTTTAGTAAGTAAATAAAGAATTCTATTATGGAGGTTAGGCTATTCCTTTACGCAATATCTATTTTTACTTCTTCCACGTCAAAATTTTTCTTCGTCCAACGACTGACACCTTTGCAACGTTTATTCATTCCATTAGTCAGACCGACTTCCATTTCTTCACTTTTAATCTTTCCCGTACTTAGTAGTATATTCAAAATATTGTAACGCTACAGCAACAAGTCTTGATTTTTAGACACTAAAACTCGGGTCTCCTATACCGAAGATTTTTTCCCCTGTATAAAGTAGACTTTTGTATGTAGTGTTGTCAGAAGCTAAGTCTTTGATACCGAAAAATTGATTTACGACTAAACGTCAGCCTGTAAACAACTAGCTAGCGTTTTCATTTTATCGCATTTTCATCAAATTTGACATTCCCCGATTTCGCGAATCCTTTTTTTGAAATGGTTATTTGAATTTTTGGGGGCACGCTAAATTGTCACATTTTCAAAATTTTCTAAAAATCGCTCCATTTTTTTCTTTATTTCATTTCCTCCTCTCAGCTGGCTGAATACCCTCAATAATATGACCTCGAATTTTCGGTCGTAAAATCTGTGTTTAGCGTTCTTTAGACCTGGATATGAACACACGTCTGGATTAAGTTCTATTTGCTCTGTTCCATAAATTGTTAAGATTGGTGCAAGTAGAGAGTACATACTACATGCAACTTTTAATCTGAAATTTGGAATGTGTCTTTATGGATGTGTCCCGCATAACTGGCAGATTCGAAGCGTTTGAGCTGAAACTTGGTAAATATGTCAGGAATAAGTTGGGCCATTCCGGAGGTCATTAACTTATTTTAATTTCTGGGGGTACTTTCCATGAGCCCTGGGCCTTTTTCTGCCTCCCCCTTCCGTTGAGCGCACGCAATGACAATACCCTATTGAAAAATTGAGGTATTTATCCCGGCCCATTCTGAGTTGCACTCAACTTGAAATCCACCATTTACATCAACGATGCAGCGTTGCCAGATCATTAAATGTATATCCCAGTAACAGCCTTCAAAAATCCTGGTACTTTCACTAAAATTCCTGGTACCAAAAAGTGGTGTGGATGAAACAGTACACCTGCTCTAAAGCCAATTGATTACGTAACAGATTCGGCTGCAGGAAAAAACAAAAAAACAAATGCAGGTTATTTACCAGCAAGGCGACTAAACGTACTGCGCTTTGTGATTTGGAAATTTCTGTAACAATTTAGAAAGATCATATAGTTTGTAGAGAATACGCCCATTATGGTTTATGATGGGTGATAGATTCAAACAATTTGCGTCTCATACGCGGTAACACTGCTGATGAATCGATGGTCACAAAAGGTAAACCAGGGATTCAAATTCTGGTATGAAATTACCAGTGGTGGACACACTCCTGGCTCAAACCCATCCAAGGTGCTGGCGCATGAAAAGATTATGAAACCATTTAAAGACAAAGATGTGGCAATGACCTTTGTGAACTTCCGCACGTTTCATATCGAATTTTCTTTGATAACCTGGTTACAAGTATTGAACAGCCGCATGTCCTAAAGATGAGGGGCATGGAATCAAATGGAATAATAAGAGGAAAGAGTTAACATCTGTAGATAACATTATAAGAGTGTATCGTATGACGTTCGTTCCGACTCAGCCACAGGTTTGCTCATTCAGGGTCAGTTTGATGCAATGACAACAGTATTCTTGCTAAAGCCGCCTATGGTATCACAGTTCAACCATTGAGTTCCGTAGAAAGATTTTCTAGGGAAAAAAAGAGCGTACCTGTGCCTAAACTACTGCATTCCTAGAAAGTTCATATGGGGAGGGCATAGATCGAGCTGATCAAAATGTATCCCTTTATAGTTGACCCACAAGGGGGAAAAGTACATTCCACAGACACTGCAGAGCAAAATACCTGGGATCTTTACAATAACAATAAAGGCGCAGTCTAACCAAGGTGGCCAATCGTCATCCTTTTGTAGTTTACGTCCTTTGAAAAGTGTCGTCCTACCCGTCCTTTTCGATATTTTAAAACTAATTTGTTAATCTCTGTATTCAGAGTTGCGGTGCCGTACGCGCCATGTGACGGTACCGTTCGAAAAGACGCGATTAGTAATGACAGATCGGGGATATTCACGCCGTTTTGGGTGGATTTTCAACTCGTGCAGTGCGAAAAGTAGTTCCCTGCCAGCAGAAAAAACGATCGAAAATAATTGAGATGGCGAATCATAAGCTGATTTTTAATTAACTATTAATTTTGTTACAAAAATATCTGTTCTAAAAATTTTAAGTTTTCACAGAAATGTTTTCGAAAACTTAAAAATTAATTTGCTGTGAAACGTTTGCATGGACACGATATCTATATCTATTGCGTATACAGACATACTCACATATTTTTTCACAATCACTGTTGTGAATATTTTTTTTTTATTCTTGGCGTTTTCGCAAACTAGTCTCACCAATTGTTTGTAAATACAAACACGTTCGTGAACACGTGTGATCTTGGTCCAATATTTCCAACATGTTAGAAAATGATAGACAAAAATATTATTCAATGGAAAAAATACTCGTTTAATTAAATAACTAAAAGGGGATGTAAGCATAATTAGTGTATTTTTGTTTGAATTAATAAAATTTTTCATTTATTTATGGTGTACTTTTTTTGGCACATACTAATGAAAGAAAAGAAAGCATTGTAATCGTGCGCTGGAAAACTGCGAATTTTCGTCACAAAAACTGCTATTGTTGGGCACTAGTATCGAAAAAATTGATAAATCCAGCTGCTAAATATAGAAAAAAATCCTCTAACTCGGTGTAGCTAGACTCCATATTTTGTGCGTCCTTCATACCAAAACATCGACTGACGTCAAACGTCTGACTGTTCGTCTGTGCACAACACTAGAGCATAAACCGTACAGCCGATTTTCTCCAAAACTGTTATTTCTCAATCGTTCTGGCTGATGTCACAGTCCCTGTATTTTGAAACCAATATTTTCATTTTGGAGGTACTTTACATGAAGCCCCCGGCTATTTTGAATAAAATAGATCCAATTTTTTAATTTGAAAAAAATTTAAAATTTAAATTTGTTGTTGAATAGTGAGAACGTTTAAGAGAATGGGGCAGGTCTTATTTTCGATTAAATATATTATTTTTCAAAAATTTCTAAATTAAAACTACATAATTGATGATAGAGATTTTTGCCTTACCCAAAGTATGTTGTACGAAATTAGCTCTTTAAAAAAGGTCACGTACAATTTTTGAAAAAAAGAAAAATAGTTTTTACCTAGTTAACCCTTGAAACTATCGCAATTTATTTCTCATGAACCGCTCCAATTTCTTCCTGTAAATTTTCTATACTTATTAAATAAGTTAAAAAATATGGTGCCAGTACCATTTCGGGCATTGCTCGTGTGTTTCGAAAATTGCAAAAAATAAATTGAGAACCACTACTAAATATGAAGATAAAGGTTTTAACCTCATACAAAATATGTTGTACAATTATATTGCTCCTTAAAAAAGGTGATGCACAATTTTTTTAAAAGTTAGTTTTTGCGAAATTTCTGTTTGAAAAATTTTGAAGGGCGACCCCTCGGACATAACGATAAAATTGTAATATTGGGAGAAAGTTTGTGCTGTTTGTGCACCACAAGTTTCTCGAATTTTTTCGTCTTCCTTTTAATTGTTAAAAAGTTGGTCATCTTAGTATATCTGACATTTCTGACAAGTTGCCACTGCACTACGAGAACGTAACAAAAGAGTGACTACTAATTCTTTCGATTTGACGAAAAGGAACATTATGTTACTGAATTAGCAACGGACGAGAAAACACCAAGGTCAATGAGACGTCCCCTACAATATGTCAAAAATGGGATGAACCTCTTCATATTTGTAGCTACAGTAGCTCATCATACAGTAGCATAAAACAAGTTTATAAGATTCTTTTGTTTATTTATTGCAGTTATTCGTGGTTGCAACAACAAAACTCATTTTTCTTCACGTTTATTTGAAAATACCGATGCCAAACAAGTTACATGTTACAAGTTTTTACCTTCACAAAAAGTTATTCTATTGTCCTGACGACCTTCTGGAAGGACGCTTGGTTTTGTAAATCCCAATAATACAAACTCAAAATTGTTTTTACTTTCATCCTAATGACCTTCTTAGAGAATACTAATTTTTAACTCAATTTCGAAAGAAAAAAAAATATTGATTATCTGGGTTAAATGACGTAAATTAAAATTAAAATAAAGTCGGCAACACCGCGCGCGTATTCAAGAAGAAAGAAATTAGTATCTAGGCTCTGAATGAAACTATCAAATTAATATATATTAAAAATATATCACGCTTCGGTTTTTATAACGTGGCGCGTCGAGGGCTGTCTTCGCGAGGGATAATCTCACGGCATTTCGTGTCTGTCTGCGTCGTGCTGCCAGACACATCGCACTACTTGAGACGGTCGCCATCACGCGGCATTTCAAGCGGAGGCGGAATATTTATTAATAATATTTTTCCTAGAAAAACATCCCAATTTCCTTTCTATCTCGTTTTTGTTCAACATTCCACACTCCAGTACTCGGTTTCGAGAGAATAGTGCTCGAGTAACATGGAATGGTTAGCAATGAACAGAAAAAAGTGACTTGTAATGTACGAAGCAGAACCTTGAAAAATTATATTTTCAAACCTTGAATTTCAAAAAACCTGATGGTTGGCCATCCTGTAGAGCAAAGGTCGCTTAAAAATGGCACAAGCAAATTTATTAAATTGAGACTCATTTTCGTTGATTTTCGAAAATTGCAAAAGTTAAAAATAATGCAAGAGTGTGTGTGTCGTAGCATCAATTGCTTCATCGTTAATCCCTTTAATACCCTAAACAACAGCAGCACACTTGCGGAGTTTTCTGACCGACAACACTGTCAATGTAGGTTTATTTGCACCTTTTTCAAGTGTAGTATGGTTGGGCATAACATATGGCCGCAACAGTTTGCCCGCCGGCAGGTGACCAACATGTACAACGAGCTGTGGCGACGCACGCAGCTGCTGGAGGGGCTGGCCAAGGACTCGATGGCGCTGGCCAACGCGACGCGGCGCGAGCTGCAGGAGGGGATGCGCTCCGTGTCCATGCAGCTCAGCCGCTACTGCTCGCTGCAGGCCGACAAGGCCAAGCCCGGTGAGCGCTCTTCCTTCGCTCTCGCGCTGCGTTCACCTCACACCCACTTCAATGCCCTTCCTACAATGCTCGTCTTCACATCTAAAGAATCGCGCCCTGATACACGGCAATACCATACAGCTAAATCATATTTTGGTGCAGTAATGTTATTAGGGTGTTGATTACGCATTTGGGATTTGCCATAAAATGTTTAATGCGATTATAATTATAATTAACTAGAGGTGCAACACCACATACTATCTCATTGTTTGTAAACAATTAGTAATATTATAATATGCAAATTGTATCAAACTAATTATTCAGCCCACCTGTGAAACACACCTAACAAAAAGACGCGTGCGAGTTTCCGATTTGCAATTTTCGAACATATACAGTTTCTAATGAAAACAGAACTTAATATTTATGTAGACACTTTGCTCTTCTCAAAGAGCTAAAAAAAAGTGAATCCATCCAAATTACCGAAATCAAACTCAGGTCCCAAATAAGCACATCGGAGAGAGCTCTTCAATTAAACAGACCACTACTACTAGAACAGAGAAAAACTAATATTTTTTTACAAAATTTTCATCATTTAACTCAAAATTACAGTAAAATTGAATCTTGTTTTTAGAAAGGTACATGAACTGATTCCAAAATCTGTATGTTTGATTCTGTATGTTTACAAATCGAGTTTAAAAACTCATAAAGAGTTAATTATGTCGCCTACATTGATAGAAGAGGGTTCCAGGGCATATGTTAACACCTCAAGAACTTAAAATACATATATTAACATTGATATTGTATTTTGGTCATATATTGGCACCAATATATGCCAATACGTATTGTCAATAGCCCTAGCTTCTGATTTGACTCCTAGGTGTAAAATAGATTGAACTAATGAGTGTTACAATAATTAAATTCCATACACACTAAAAATGAGGTAGATTTCACAAACTGGGAAAGCTACAGACACATGAGCCACACAAACTGATAACAGTATTAGTAGCATTCTGTCTTCAACATCTGATAACTTTAGAACAATATTTGCACTTAAAAGCAAGTGTTTGTTGGTATTCAGGAAAAAATAATCAATTTGACCATAACACGCATGCTCATTTTAAAAGTTCCGTTTTTAGGTACCTAACATTCATTTAAGGAATAAGAATCTAAAATATAAATTAATAAATTGAATTCATTAAACAAAAACCGTGAGTCAAAAACAATATTTATTTACAATAATATTAAATGAAGATTTTGTTGCTAACAATTTCTACATGTATTAAAATATAAGACACTGATAAATTAACTTTCTTAATAAACATCAAGAATATGTCATCAGATATTTAGAAAATAATCTATCACCTTATTTTTAAAGTTGGATTTGGAAGAATACCAAAAATTTGGCCTTCAGCTGTGAATCAAACTTGCAAATCTGTTAATACTAGACAAGGGCACTACAGTTTCCATCACGGTAATGACTGCTAGTAACGTTAAAGTATTAATACTTAAAGAGGCTCCTGTTTTGGCTCCTGTAGGTTTTCAAGTTCAAGTTCTTGTTACTCTCGTGAGTGTTATCAAAACACTTGGTATCATACATGGGGAATAACACTAACAAGATTTCAACTTTAAAATGGTGTTGTGAAAGTTAGAGAAGTCAGGGAAAATTTATATTTTACATTGTCATTGGTGTTTGCAAGCATGTCTGTTAATATACGAGGAAGTACAAGAATTTAAAGATGGAAGAAATAATGGTAACATTCATAAGAATGAATTAGATTACTAATCATGAATATAGATATTAAATTTCTAAATAATATTTATTTTGCAAACAGCCTTCACTAATTATTACCAATGACTGTTCTGCCTTCCAGTAGGTTAGGGTATCACATTTACTGCTATTTTCAATGCTGCCACATTGATTATAAAGTAGTTAACATTCCAGATGGTTTAAACAGAATTGATGGTTCAGGGCAAAACTCTGCCTCAATATGCTGATGATTACTATGAACTTTGAAAAAAGAAAGAAAAAAAATGATATTCTTCCTTAAGATTTGGGAAGTCAAGAGAGACAACAGACACTTACTAGCTTACACATAACACCCTCCCCTCCCTGATATTTACCTTTGAATATTTCTGTTTAGCAGTTGTGATAAGTAACATTCATGACTTTTTAAACATAATTAACACCTTGTCTTATGCCAGTGAACAGAGTCTGAGTATTACAGGCACCAAAATTGGGTAGCCTACAACAAGCAATGTTCAGTCTTCGATTACAGAGAAAAACATTGTCATGCTTCTCTATGTACACAGGATGGGCACTTCAATCTCCTCTATCTATCCCAAGCACAGTCGTCTGCAATGTTGGCAACAGGAGGGTTGCCATAAGATGACTAAAATGCTCGCATATGTACCTTGCACATGGCATTTCCTGGAGAGTCAAGTTTTTATTGACTCTAAAATTTATTATTTATTTACTAAATTATTAATTACTTTCAATTTTTTCTCCAGCATCTCATTCTCGAGACAATATCGAAGCAACCTTGGAAGAAATACGGACCAGCACAAGTTCCTACTTTCAAACTATAATTTCAATACAACACATGTTCCAAGCCTCATGTCATCGTATACAGGAACATGAACCAATGCTAGAGAAATATCTTGCCGAGACACTTGAAAGAATAGTTGGACTCCTCACCAATAACAAGTATGTATGTTATTAATACTAAAACAATATAATACACAGTGCAATATAACAAAATTGTACTTTAAACTAAATTCAATTTATGCAGTTGACAAAAAATTAAAGCTTTTCAAAAATTGCAATTCAACAAACTTTACTAATCAAAACCATGTTTCATACTGAAGGTGGGAAAATCAAGTGGAAGATCTACACAGATATTTGAAATCACATCACACAACTGTTGTGAGAAATGTTGGTCACACCACAAACACAGTTCTGAGAGCTGCAAATTATAGCAGCAAGGAAGCACAGAATTTAGCAGTTGCCATCAATGAAGCACATGAAGGATTGCTAATAAGCACTACAGATATTCAAAAAGGCATCTCAAAAATACAAAACGAACAGCAAATAGTTTATCAATCATTAAAGGAAATTACAGCTGTCATGAATGTAAGTATCTCATTTTTCTTTCTTATTTATCAGGAAAAAAGGCTTGATTACAGGTTGTTTTCTTTCCAGGAGCTCGAAAACAAAGTATCCTATTCATCAAATCAGAGTACATCTGAGGGTCCATATTTGAAAGTGATTCAGTGCCAAGAAAGCAGTACTGAGTCAACTAATATAACATCTGAACTGAAAAAAATTTTTGAAGCAAATCACAACCATTTGAGCAAGGAGATTCAAAACCTGACACAATCAATAACAGAAGTGCTGAAAAATTTAGGTGTTCAGATATCCTCACACACATCAGACAATTCTAAATCTTCAAAACAAGACTTAATTAATGTATTAACAACTACTAGTGAAGATTATGATGACACTTCAGAACATGACAGTATATCGGAAACTCTTGAAGAAAATTTGAATAGTATATTTGATTCCCATAGTTCAGAAAAATCATCAGTTTTTCAAAATTTAACAAATTTACAAACTATGCCTGCAACAAACAAAAAAAGCATTCAAACACAAATACCATCTCAAGTAGAAACCAGTACCCCTCAACCATCTACTCCTCTTTATGGTACTTCTTCCTCCCAAGAAGTTACAAGTATCGTATCTAATGCACATAACGAAATAAGAGAAAATCAATCAAGAGACAATAATGAACGAGTTTCAAATACAACACAAGAAAATCAAATTAATCTAAGCGCACCGTTAAATAGTACAATCATTACAATAGTTCACAGTGCTGAGCCCATTACCTCAGAAGACCAAGTTACATATTTATCAACAGATAACATTTCCACTGTCATGAGCAATCCAGAGAATGAACATTTACATAGGCAAACTTTCATACAAACAGAACATAATAATAAATTTATAGCAAGTCAGAAATTGGACCTACACGATACAAATTATGCACTCAATGAAATGACTACAAAAAACCCTACCCCCTATTACCAAGATATTAATTCTAGTTTAAGTTCAAGAACAGAGGAAGGGTCTAGAGAGAACAGAGATCGGAACAGTTCTTTCCCACATAGGAAACCACAAACACAGGATTATAATCACCATTCTAACAATAATATGTCCTCACATCAAACATTACAAAAGAATGCATCTCAAGATGATAGACATGCTGATGACCAAAATCTACCTCCAATGAACAATCCAAAAAACCATTCTCAAAGAGAGATTCACCACAAGTTCCCAAACACAAACAGAAGTTTTCCTAGAAACACAAGACACAAAAACTTTAATAAAAATGATACACACTATTTATATCGTTTACTAAACAAACTTGAAGAGCTATCAAACCGATTAATGAATTCTGAAAGTAGTGATGGATCTGCCCCTGACAACAGTGGACACACAGATGATTCCCAAGAAGACTCTGAGGAGAATCTGGATTATTCACTGCCTGACAGTACTTTCTCAAATAAATGAAAACTGTACCTGCAATAAAATCACACAAACACTAAGACCAAAGACTTTTCAGTATATTTTTTATAATACATTATGTATAAGTAATGAGATTTAGATACAAGAAAGCTTTTCCATGATCTATTTGTATATTAAATTATTAAATAAATCTGTACATAAAACATGGCTTCTGTATTTTTCCTTGCATAAACAATATTCTGAAATTTACAACTATCATAGAAATTAAAAATCTCTCTCTGCAACTAATTCATTTTAGTCAACCATTACATAAGTACTTAATATGTTAAATAATAGTGAACTTTTGACATGACAAGAAATAAAAACACACTGCATTAGGAAATATGTACAAAAATTAAACAATTTGGGCAACATGGTAAATTATAATCCCTTGGGAAAATAGTCAGTATAATATTGATTTCATACTTGGAAATCAAATATATTGCTAAGCCTTACCTCGACTTTGGCACTGTTTTGAAAGATAGTTTGTGCTTTATGTGTTAGCTGGGCAAAACAGGAACTTAAAGTTGCCATTTTTTGACGTGCTGTGTATACCATATCAGGTTCTTCTGAATCAAATTCTCCTACAATTGTACAAACAAACTGTATATTTAAATACATCATGAAAACATAATTGACCAAAAACTATTAAATATGAATACACTATTACTTATTTTAACCTACGGATATTGAAACAGTGTCAGTTATAAAATGTACAATTTAACATTAACGTTATTAAATAACAGCAGGAATAAACATTTAAAAAATATTGATTACATGTAAGGAATAAATTCACAAACAGAGTTCCAACAGAAAATACAACATTCGTCCAAGCGGTAGGCATTTAAATGTCAATGTGTCACTTCACTGACGTAACCTACAACGAAACTGTATTTACGAATAGATACTCCGTCAATAACAACACATTACTACGCAATTTTCTTTCCAATCTCTACCTACCGATTAATATGTCTAAATCCACGAAAGCTTTATCGAATTCCTTTTCTAATAAATCGAGCCACCGAAAACTAATCCCCGTAGCAGCCATGTTTTCTCCGTACTTAATCACGTGATATTAGCTGATTCCCACAATGCACTGAGAAAAATTCAAATTTCGATGTAATCGGATATTTTTAAAACGTCTATTATGTCTCACCGGTCTTAGAGAGTCTCAACGCTTAAATAAAGTATTAATTACCCTCAAGACAAATGTATTTCTTAAGATCATCATTCCATTTAACCTCTTCGATTTAGAAACTGTAACTTAATTTTGTGAAGTTGGTCACAGAATCCACAGTGAATCGTTGTCAGCTGTCAACTGAGGTGAATTCCGGTGAATTCGACTTAACCAAACTAGTGTACTAAAGTACGAATAGTGGGGACCCGTGGATGTAACTTTATTTAGTTTGTACCTGTGATCGCCTATGGTTCCAGTTAACAGCGAAGATGTGATTATTCAATAAATCTGTGTAGTGTGGTTATAAAAGGATATTCCTTGCAACTGTTGCATTAGTGAGGATATTGTATATAAGATATTCCTCCTATGTTTTCGTTTTTAAGCGGTCAATGTCTAAGAAAATAATCGCAATGGTCCATGTGAAGTGTAGAAGTTTGCACTATCCGCGAGTGGGTAATATTATACGTCTTCAGTTTCCTGACAATCTAGTTCCATGGAATTCTGAATGGCCAGACTACAAACCTAATGATTTTACAGCATCTTTTGTTTTGGGAAAGCCATGGGCTGATCAAGATGTATCAGAGCCTAACTTTTGCCCTAAATGGAATAGTATTGACGGTAATATAAACAGACAAAGCTTCATGGGGGAATATAGAGTAAAAGATAAACGACCCCTAAATCCTGTAGGTCGGACAGGGTTATGTGGGCGAGGTGTTTTGGGTAGATGGGGTCCAAATCATGCAGCAGATCCTATTGTTACCCGATGGAAAAGGATAAGCCAAGGTGCTGTGGTAATTCATCCAAAAAGTAAGAAGAAAATTTTGCAGTTTGTAGCCATTCAAAGAAGAGATTCTGGTGAATGGGCTCTACCTGGTGGGATGGTCGATCCTGGTGAGGTTGTATCTGCCACCTTAAAAAGAGAATTTCTTGAAGAAGCCTGTCGTTCTTTAGAAAACCCAGACTCTTTGGAAGAAAACAATAAAATAATTACTTCATTTTTTGACAATGGAGAAGTGATTTATACAGGTTATGTAGATGATCCAAGAAATACAGATAATGCTTGGATGGAAACCGTTGCTATGAATTTTCATGATGATGATGGTAGTACTATTGGAGCCATATCACTTGAAGCTGGAGATGATGCCATGGGTGTTTGTTGGATGGATGCGAGTCAAGAGCTTCATTTGTATGCAAGTCATTCAGATTTCATTGCTAAAGTCGCAGCCAAACATGGTGCTCATTGGTGATCATTATAATATTATATTCACTAAATTTACGTCAATGTTTGCAATGTAAAGAATAAAAGAAGAATTCACAATATATAAATATATCACTTTAATAAAAGTTTTTAATACATTGGTATGTAATATAACTTTTAAAATTTTTATTTCAGTTGCAATTTAGTCCTTTTTTGTACACATTTTGAACGCATATCTCTGTATAGGAAAAATATGCAACTAGTGGAGTATTAGTCTCCATGAACTGCAGAAATAAAGGTGATTTTAGTGGCATATGGTCAATTATGCAGAGCCAGACTGCCTTGTGAAACCTCCATAAAGCTTGTTTTTATCTTCTCCAATCTGGTATTCCATTCATCTCTCATTTCCTATTATCCACTGGAAGACACAAACCACCACTGATCACTTGTCTGGAAAGTATAAGCCATCCCCCTTTTGCATGACCAATAAATGACAATCCTCAAATAAATGCACATAATTGTTTGTTTTTTTTAAGTTTTTTTGTGACCATAATTACTAATTACTATAGTGTAAATGTGATGTATTGCTATAAATTGGTGACTACTTATTTTTAATTGAATTTGCTTTGACCTTGACCATGAACTTAATAGACCATGACATAGCTTAATTGAAGGAGGAATAAAAATGGATCAAAGTATAGAAACCTCACCATTCGAATGCAATAATAATAATAATAATAATAATAATAATAATAATAATATTAATAATAATTGCTGATGTTTTGTCAAAATAAATTTGATATTTTCACAGCCAACTGTAATTAATACACTATTTTCACTTCTGTAATCCAATTGACGATAAATCGATTCACTTGGTTGTTTTCATCGCCCCTTCTATTGATCATTTTTTGATCAATCAGCAGCCTTTACATGAACTAACTTAATTGCTATTATGGTTACAAATTCTATGCATCCTTATTGCCAGGTAGAATGTGTGATACCTGGTGTGACCACATTTAGAGAAAGAAAAACAGGACATTGCAAATACCAACCACTAAGATCTGATAATCCACTAATCTGACCATTCACCAGATGTAAACATGCTAGTAAGAATATCACTAGTTTTTGAAATTGACCAGAATTTTAATTGTATTTAAACCTTACATTTTACTTTTTATTGTTACTGAAAAAATTTTTCAGGTCCCCGGCTTAGGATATCAATGGTGTCTTGAGTATCATGTTTTCTATTGAATGAATAGAAATTATTCAGTCAATTAGAATAGATCTGCCTATTAAATATTTCAATAATTACGATACAACTCCATTAACATGTTTCTATTTATTATTGAACTTTGAAATAAAAACTTTCTTTATTACCCCCCACACTCTGAATGGTATTTCTTTGGAATATAACATTTCCTACCTATTCTAATTCAAATTATAATATTTTAAATATTTTGGTTTCTTATAAGTTTCTCTTGGTCTAAATACTGAGTCGCTTCAGCCACTAGAGCACCCAACTCTGATGAAGATGAAGTTCTTGTTGATGGAGTGCATACAACGGGCACTGCAGCTCCTGCATTAGAAATAGACAAATTAGTCGACTCGGGAGTAATTTCATTGAAATATGAATTTTTGTTTTTAGTACCCTCTTTCTTCTGAAATATGTCTTATAACTATTCTTCCATTGTGCTATTTAATAATACATAAAACAGTTCCAACAATATTGTGAATTACTTCTATTCATTTTGGTCTGAATGAGTTAAAATTTGCCACATAAACTAAATCACATGCTTTAAATGTTCTTAGTTTCTGATTATTTCCTCTCCATACATCTGGGTGCATTTTATCAAATACAAACAGTAGTTTTCTTCTCATTAGCAGTCCAGCCGATGTCTTCTTAGTTTTTGAATGTCATTTCGTATGTTTGAAAAGCATTGTTTGTAATTAAAGTTCAATATCACCATCTAGTTTTCCTAAAAAATTCTTTGATGTGTGTGCCGTGCATTCCACGTGGCCTTTACTAGATGTATGATATGGCAATACAAGAGAAAATTTGATTTAATGCCTTTTGTATAAATCAAGGTGTTCTTTAAATGTGAATGCCCAATTGCTGTCTGATAGCACTGGATCTGGGATTCAGTTTAGCAAAAACTCTTCTCAAACTTCTGATGATTTCATTGGATATTATAAATTTTATTGTGTCAATTTCCAACCATTTTGGCACAGCATCTATCACTATCAAAAAATGTTTACCTTTAAACTGCTCTGCAAAACCAACACGTGAAGTTGACCCTGCATTTTAATTTTTTCAAATATCTGATTAGGAGCTTTCTGTGGATTATTAGCGTTCATTTGGCTTCTGCTGCAATATTCACACAATCTTCATTATTTTGATCAATGTTTGGCCACCAAACACAACTTCAAGCATACAACTTCATTGTTACTAATCTTGGATGATAGGTATGTAATAAATCCAAAAATATTTTCCGTGTCACTTCAGATGCTATTAATTGATTTCCCCATAGTAGGCAATCTTTATGCACAGAAATTTCAGTTTTACTTTGCTGATACAGTGTGAATCCTGCAACTTCTCAAGCTTCAGTGTTTGGCCATTGACGCCCCGTCCTGTATCATACTTTAGACAAAATCACATCTTTTGATGTCTCTTTACAAATATCTTCTACTGCAATAGGTCTGGTGTTAGATTCTAGTAAAGAATATCCCAAGTAGGTACTTTCTCATCTTAGTCATCTCATAATGGTAATTGACCAAGACAGTCAACATTTGAATTTTCTTTTCCTTTCTTATATTTTAATTTATAATTATAAGCACTTAGCATCAAACACCAATGTAACATTCTTAGTAGTAATATTATTGGAATCAGCACTTTTAGGATTCATAATCCTAACAGACAGCGATGATCAAATGTAAATTCTCTTACTGCTACATACTGATGAAAGTGTTTTACACCTGCAATGATGGCAAGTGCTTCTTGATTTGAATGTTTCTTTGTCATTTACCTAAGGTGCGAGACCAATAAGCAATGAACTTTTCCACATTATTTTTCTTTTGTACTGGAACACCACCAATTCCACAAGGCAAAGCATCACAATTCAAAATCAATATTTTGTTTTGTCATAATGAGCCCAAACTGAACCGCAGCTCATAAGTTATTTTGGAATGTTTAATGCTTCTTTGTGTATTTTTGTCAATAACTGATGTAAAGGTTCTACCACATTGGACTTACTTTTTGAAGAGAGATTATAAAAAGAGAGAAAAAATTATAGAGTCCTATAAATGACTATCTTCTATCACCCTATCTTCTGAAGATCGTACTCATTTATCTCCAATGATTACTAGAAAAAAAAATAATAATAAAATCCAATTCTACATCTCGAAGTTTATCTAACAATTTTTTTAAGATATCATTGTGCTCCTCTTGATTTCTACCGAATACAATATTGTGTAAAGAAATCTTTGTTCCAGGAATCCATGCCAGTAATGAATCTATAAATCTTTGAAAAGTACTGCCGCAATGGAAGTTCGAAAAATTAATCTTTTTACTTTATGCAATCCCTTATGAGTATTTATTGTATGAATTTCTGACGCTTCTTTCTTGACCCCGATTTGTTGATATACCTGTGAAAGATGTAATGTTGAAAAACAAGTTGCAGGTGCCAACAAAAAGTTATGTGATGGTAGGTAGGGAGTCGAAGTTATTTTTTGATGCTGTTGCACACTGAGTGTTGTGTTGGTTCCTTGATGGTTTATTTTTTCTAAATAATTTTCGCATCGATGTTTCAGCGCAAACGGTGCTTTTCAAAAACACAGGTGATGCATTTTCATTTCATTCTAGCTTCATTGGATTGCCTCTAAACATTCCAAGAGTTTTTAGAATACTGTTGAATATTTCTGTCATCAGAATACTATGTGGTCTCGTTCCGGTACTTGTGCTTTTTTCTATAATACTGATCCACGTCAAAACGCACAGTCACAATACAACCTTTTTTATGAGATCTAGGGTTGAAACGAGATGACTTGTATTTGTTCATTTCTTCTAATACTACCCCTTTCTGAAATATTACCAATTATTTGTTTTCGAAAAATCATGCACGTGCTATTGTTCAAAATATTTTTGCGCAAATTATTTAAATTTTGCAAAAATTGTTCAAATTTCCTTCAGAAAAATAAAATTACACTTAAATCTAACTTTAAAAGATATACTTTCATATAATGTAAAATACATTTTTGTACACATAATATAAATATTTAAAATTTATTTTAATTTTTAAAATGCAAATTTTTACAATAGGTCGACATTTAAATTAATTGTAAAAAAACACACGTGTATTTTTACAGTAATGTTGTCTAGATGTGCCTAATTTCAAAGTGGGACACCCGTAAATAACGTTAAAAAACATGGTTTGTTTACCGGAGCACGTAGGCAGCCAGTTGCCCGCCGGACTCGCTGCTCGAACTGCGGGGTGTCAATGAGACGGTGCATTTTGACTTCCAACACAAAGCAACCATGAGACGTATGCCATGTTATGAATCGAAGAAAAACACATACGGTCTCAAATGGAAGTCTTCTGAAAAAAGGCGACAATGGAGTTTATTTATAGACAACTGACACTGCTAGGGTCTGCTTGAAACAGAGCAGCTTTCTTTTTCAGATATGCTAAGTCACTTGTGTAAACAGAGGAATCCATGCAACGTGTGCGTTGTTCTATGAGGATAGTAACCACAGATTGTCTTACAGTAATATCAATACTATTGTTATTTGTATTTTATAATATGAAAATCTATAATTGTAGGAGTGTACTTTCAGTTTGTTACAACCAGCATTCTTGAAATGTTGAAAATTTACAGGTTGCCACCAAAAAGAAGCTATGTGTGTTATCAAAACTGTTTTTCAAAATACCTTGTCCTGACGAGTAAATGTTCATGAGTGTGAGAATCGACCATACTCGTTCATGCCGCAAATATGTTGGACAGTGACAATGATGAATAAACGTGTACCGCTGGTCTTAGTCACCCTAAAGTATCACCCGATACGAACAATAAAGAACCTGTCTGAGTAAATTCGCCTACTCTCATGAGACAAAAATAAAATTCGTCACTGCGAGTTTTCATTTTCCAGTTTGTTTTAGAAAATTATTCTTTCGTACTTGATGTTATTCAGAGACTATTGTGGATCAATGTCTTAGCGACTTTGCATCCTTTTGTGCTATACTTCAGAGAAGGATGCCTGAAACACGGCACGAATTCTATTTACCCTTTTCAGTGTAAACTCATAACACTTCTCAAGGAAAATTATGACAGTGTTAACAGACATTTTGCGATGGGCATTTCATAAAGCAGTAGTTTATTCAAGTTAGCACAATATTCAGAGAATATCATAAACAAGCGTCACAAAAATTGCCAGATGTGCCGGGGACGTGCCAGATCAACCAAAAGCCGAAGAGATGTCCCCAAAACTTTGCCGTGGTCGTGAACAAGCAGACAGAAGAAAAGTCCGTAAGCGCTGGCCTCGTCGTCCCTCACAACCACCAAACAGCAGATACTTTTCGCTGCTCGCACTGCCTGTCTGCCCGGCGGGAGCGATACCATCCGTTCTGAAGGCTCCCCGACTGGCCAGGCCGTAAGGGCGAACCGTTGCCCCGACTCCGACCTCAGCGAGAGAGGGTCTCGATTTTCAGGCATTTCATGATATTATATTTCAAAACTTGTGAATAGTCGTGTGTGTGTGTGTCGTATGTGCGTAAAAACGGTAGAATTTTTATCATAAAGCATTCGATAACGTGCACAGGTGTAGGAAAGTAATATAATACAGTGAAAAACCAAACTGTCACAGATGTATTGGGATGCTTTGGTTCACCACACGTAAATGAAAATTGAAAAAAGACTTTTATCATTTGCCAGTTTCAACAGCCTGAAAATTACAAACACAGTGTAAGAGATAGGAGATCACTAATTGATTATATAATTACCAATCACGACATAAATTAAGAGGCGCAAGAGTACTATAATGAGGATGCAACATATATTCTGATCTGTCTTGGGAATGTCATGTATCAACCGCTTGACGAGATGTGCAACTTCAGGAAGGCCTTTTTAAAGTGTATCTCTTACAAGAAAACTATATCAAAAGCCATATATGTAGAACAACATATAATATCTATAAATATTGTGGCGCCACCCCGCCTATACAGAGTTTACCAGACGCTACAGACAAATGCTCACAACGAGCTGTGATCAGAAAGGACATGCCAGAGTATGTATGCAAACACAAACACAAACAAAGAATTCTTCAACTCAATCTGTGAATACCTTTATAATACAAAACCAAAGAAATAAATTGTACACTTTGTTCGAAGCACGAACAACACTCATAAATTTTGTAATATGCATTGAAATACGTAATGTTTGTAAAATAATATTTATTTCCATCAGTTCCGTACACGGTCGTTACGCTTGGGAATTCCCGTCACAAGTTGCTTTGAACGATTTAAATTTAATTAAACAACAAAATACCTTACATTTGTGTAACGCTCCTCCTATTCACGGTTATCTTGCACTGCGTTGGGCAGACATCTTGTAATATTTCTATCTTCTCAATTATTTATCTTTCCATTACTTACTTTATTTATCCAATTATCTTTCTCTTAAATCTCTGTAAACTGTTTCTGCGACCATTTCTAACTAGTTTAATTTCCGAATCATTTCAATCATATTGTTTATTTCAATACTCTGCTGCTTGTAAATTACTGCTCCAATGATTAATAATTTGGCTACTCCTGTCGTTTTTAAGATCTCGCATGAGTTCGATGTACCACGTATTTTGCCTTACCTGTTGCATGTGGATGTCTGACTCTATGCAGAAATCATGATTCCTGGAAATTCTGTGGAATTTACTAATTATTTAATTGATGACAATTCAATGAAATATCAGATTTTTCTTTTCAAACAACCATTAACATTTATTAAAAAATTCTTATGACATATTCTGAACGTGCTCTGATGCAAATTCGTTAACTTACGGAATGTTCTTCTCAGTCGAATTGATGCTGCCTCCTTGTCCAGAAGGGGATGGTCTGGGTCCTCCTGTGGTATAGGTCATGTGCCTATCGTCCCTATAAACTTGAAATGTTTCATAACTATTTCTAACTATTCAGTTAACTATTCGGAAATTCCTAAATCAGCTTCAAGGTTATCGAGGCGCGACTTTCCCTTATTGGGATTTGGGTGCAACCCCGATTCGCAACTACTATTTCTTTTCAAATTAAAAATTTATAATTCCCCTCTTCGGGATTATCGTCATGTTCCCCCACGAACACGAAGTATAAATATTTAAGATGCAACAATTCCCGAACTACAATAAATGTTGACTATAATTAAATTAAATTAAATTATTTGTCACTTAAACAATACTGCTTAGCCTATACTATTATGAAATATTCAATCTAATATTTACCCACAACACAAGTTTACTACGGCCAACTTGCCGTCGCGATGTTCTTGATCATCCGATCGGTTCTGCTGCTTCTGTGAGAGCGAATTTGTTTCTGCACGCCTGACCTAGATCTTAAACGCCCTCTCCTCATCAATCCCATGTTAATGCCACCAGGCCGTGCCGTCCCTCGACAATACTATTCGCGCTTATTGCAACCAGAACGGAACGGCACGCCTCTACGATTATTAGTTCGTTGCTATGCCGTACGTCTTCCTTGGATTCTAACACTCTCGAAGCATCAAAATTCTACGGCACTTTCTGCTCTCCACCACTTTAGACAAAATTGATTGTTCGTTCTGGCATTCTCATCAACGCAAATAATCTTTGACTTCGTAGCCTACGTTACTCAGTTTAACGAAAGAAACTATGGAACACCAGCGAAATGCACTTTCAGCTCTAAAGAAGCTGAGCAAAAACTAAATTCTATTGCATTTCCCCAGATGAGTAGTTCTTCACTGTGATCATCAGGAAATAAAATTTTCTATAAATTCCCCCTCTTCTCTCCCTCCCTCCCCTTCCCTTCTCACCGAACGCCACGTACGGGGTAGCGAGATTCCTTCCCAACTCCCACTTCCCTCACAGTTTGCTGCACACTAGCGCCACTCACCCAAACGGGAAAGAGCAAATATGCAGACCCAGAATGATGTCCACCAGCCTTGGCGACACGAAAGAAAACGAATGTCACCCTTGTACCTATGCGCCCCCTCTAAGAATTTATAACAAAATATGTGTCCATTGTTAGCAGAGCCCATCGCCGTCTGTGAACAACACTAGCGGATAAACCGTTGAATGTGAAATCGATATTTTAATTTTGGGGAGTACTTTACTTGAAGCCCCTCTGACATTTTCAAAACAATTGGTGCCATCGATTTGGATTACATTTTGTTGTTGGATAGTTTGAAGGACATTTAAGAAAATGGTGCAGGTCTTATGTTGGTTGAAATCTAATTTTTCAAAAAAATGAAACAATTGAACATTTTTTCAACATCTTCCTACAACTAAAATATTAAAGATTGAGATTTTATCCTTCATATAATCGGTTCCTTACAGATATATTTTGTAATGAGGTCATGTACAATTTTTATTTTTAATTTTATACAGTATTTTTTTTGTTTTAACAATTTTTTTCTCAAAAACGACTCCATCGTTTTTGACGAAATTGTTAGTGGACGATTATGAGTGGTGTAGGTCTCATTTTAGTTCAAAACCCTAACTTTACGAATATTAAAAAAAATCACAAATCATTGGAGTCTTCCTACAACTACAATTATGAAGATACAATATTTCCCCTTAGTGAAATGTGTTTATGAAAAACAGATCTTTACATAAAGTAAATGTTCAATTTTTAAAAATTTCATTCATTCATTTTTTTAAAAACAGATCTTTACATAAAGTAATGTTCAATTTTTTTAAAACCTGAGTATATTCTGCAAAATTTTGTCATGTTCAATTTTTATTTTCTTTCAACCACTTTATCTTAAGAACCGCACAACTTTGTGGATTAAATTCGGAACTTGGATGGCATAAAGAATGCTTACAGAATGTACAGGTCACATGTTCATTAAAATGCGTAATTTTGCGAAACGTTAAAAAAATCGGTGCCTTCCTACAACTACAAGTGTGAAGATTTAATTTTTTAATGAAATGTGTTCATAAAATGCATCTCTTCAAATAAGGTCGTTTGAATTTCCTCCGCTTCGTTTTCGGCTTCTTGAAAATTGTATTTTTTTAATGAAATGTTTTTATCAAAATAGTTTTTCAAGTAAGATTTTGTTCAATTTTTTGAAAATGTTTTTTTGTGTAAATTGGCGACAAATTTAAATGCCCGCTGCGTTGAAAGACTTTATTTAAAAGAAAATGAAACATTTAAGAATTAACATAAAATACCTTAGCGTCATGGCGAAAAATAATTGTATGCATTTGAAACAAGCAACAGTGTTCCATAAAGAACGCTTTAGAAGAACTTTTAGAAAACCAAAATGCAAACTGAAAAACAGTTCCATCTATGGTCTTTTACTCTATTCTTACAAGAAATTTAAAGAAACATTTAAAAACTTTGGAGCAATTTTTGAGAAATTTTGAAAATGTCCGGGGGCTTCATGTAAAGTAAAAAAATAATTAACATTTTTCAAATCCGCAGAGCTTTGACTCTAGCCAAATCGACAAGGTTTAGTCAGCTTGGAAAAAATCGTTTAGACGCTAGAGTTGTTCACATTCAGCAGACGGACGGACATTTTGCCGTCAATCGATTTTTCGATATTAAGGACCCACAAAATTGGGATTGTGGCTACTCCATGTGTTAGAGGATTTTTTTCTTACTTTACCAATAGGATTTATCCTTCTTTCGTTATCAGGGCTATGCAATTAATTATTATTATTATTATTATTATTATTATTTGAAGAAAATCTGCAGTTTTTTTGCACAGGATTACGTAAATTTCTCTATACTACTATATTACTCCGTATATGCGTACGTATACGAGAAAGTAAAAATGACAGTTTTACACTGAGAAAACATGTATTAGGAACTATGTTTTGTGCAAGGTGTATTAAATTTCTGAATTCTGTTATTATGCAACAGTCCTGTTTCAATCCTGGAAAACACAAAACAAAATCCAGAAGACTAAAAAAATATTTTTAATAAAAGTTTTATAGCTGTGAGAAAAAGTTAACATTAATTTGAAACCCCAAAAGACATGGACATTTAGAAGCCAAATAAAAAAATAAAAAGTTTGACGAGGTGTGACCGGGTGGGGAGGGGGGGGGGGAGAAAAAAAAATAACAACTCTTGCATACAGTAGTGTATTTTTTGGCCTGCAAAACTTTGCAAAATCAACTAACTTGTAACTAACTAAAAATAAATAAATAAAAGGAGTATAAAACTTTAACAGAAGGAGACTTAAATACTTTAAATAAGTTCATGAAGTACACAGGTAAAATAAATACATGCTATATAAAATGCTCACAAAAGGTTACAAAATTTTAGCACAAAAATCTCTATTAACATTATAGGTAGTAATTCTTGGTAATAATAAAATTATATTTGAGGAAAAGATATTAGACTCTGTTAAAAAATATTATCAATTAAAGTTTTATTCACAATTTCTTTTCAAATTCTTGCTTGCCACCTCCTACCTTATTGCTTGTCCCACCAATCACTTTCATGATACTTGTATCCGCATAATAAATATCAGAACTATAAATCTGTAGTTTGTTTTTTAAAAACAATTATACAAGGTTAATTAAATTAATTAAGCATATTTGAAAATCCATTAGCAATAGTCCATTCTCTTCGCTTCCTTCAATCGACTGAAATATAACCTTCTGTGAACATTTTTTAGCTACCAAAAATTATACAAAAATTAACAAATCATTTTCATCAGTAAAAATGATTATAGCTAATATGGAATAGTAATCGATGTTTAACTTTCAGAATATCTTACAGAGTGAAAACAATAAATTAGAGCAAACACATATGTGCACACCGGTCAATAGTCATGGATTACAGCTGATTTAAAACCATATTTTACTTTAATTTCTAAACTTAATGTCTAAACATAATAATAATAATAATTATTATTATTATAATAATAATAATGCCTTTCACTTACACATATTCATTACAATAAGTTACGCCAACCCCTTCAATTCATAAAATTAGGCATTCTCAATTAACAAATGAAAAAAAAAAAAACTCCCCTCTTTCATATATACATATATATTTGTGCCTATGTTTAAAATCAACCTCTTCTCTTAACTGATATACACATTAAACAAGGGTCTTATCTCTTACTAAGCAAAACCTTAACATCAGAGTGAATTCAATTAACACATCAATTACAATTCACTTTTCTTGTATTATCTCCTCAGTGCAGTTTGTTACATCTACCAACTAAAGAGAGTATACAGACATAACCAACAAATAATGCGTTCAGGGGCCGTCCATAAATTACATAACTCAAATTTGGGGTGTACTGAATACCCCCCCCCCCCATAACACATTCTTAACATGTGTTTGAAAGCCTCCTAAATAATTACATACCCCTTGCAACACTCGCCCTCCCCTTGCACATGCATGAAATGAAAATAAATTATAGCACAGCAAAAACAATTTTTATTAATTTTACAGTATTGTGTGGTACATTAAAATTAATAATAATTAAAAAAGAAATTAGCTGGCAATGTTGGCTGCACCTAACAATAAGTTTGGAACAAGTTGTGAGTGAAGGAAGGATGAATAGGAGATAAAATTTTTTATTGGAAGCCATGTACACGCCTTTGTGATTGACACATGACCGAGAGACTACTGTGCCCATTTAAATGGATTCTAGAATATTCTACATATCAGTTTTGAACATTTTATTCATAATCATAAAGATTCAGTAAAAATTGATGAAAAAATACTTCCATTTATCGTAACAATCTACATCTAATAACTTTAATTTACTTATGTTTTTAAAGCAAATTAATCAGTTAATATTTTAGTACACAACTCAAAGAATCAAATTACTTCAGCAAATATTGAAAAATGAAAAAAGGAAAAAGAAATCCAATGTTATGTAACCCTAAACTAATACCTCCCTATCCCTATGTAATGCATCACCTCTCGTTACGTAATTTATAGACAACCTCTGAAGACACAAAGTGCCTTTTTGTAAGGAAAAGCAGCAACGTCTCTTACAGTTTAATCTCATTGATGTATGACCAATAGCTACTATTGCAGAATTGTTTGAATAATTACAAATATTACAATCAAAAAGGATTTTTTGTAAAACAGAATGAATTTCAACTGTTTACAACAAAAGACAATTAAAAACTTGGGTAAAAATAGAAATATTCATTGGGTACATTAAAAGTTCAAATTCTGTTTAAGTCCAATTTTTATTATACTATACCAGCCTACATTATGACATTTCACTGTTTTAATAATCACGAGTAAAATAATTAAAAATGAGTAGTTTTATTAATTATTATAAAAAGCTATTTTCTCTTTAATAACCTAAATAGGCTGGTATGATAAATAAAATGGTTGATTTATAGTTGAAATACCTCAAAGGCGAGAAAGCAGTAAAGATCTTGGAAACTGGTAAGACAAATAATCAGGACAATTTAGCTTGAAAACCAAAATAGTTTTTGGATGAAGTTTAATTTTTTTGGGAAAATAATTTTTTTCAAGTATTGACAAATTCTAGCCTAAGAAATGAAAAGTTGCCATAAAAATAACAGCAGTTTTGAAGAGAAATCTTAGCAGACATTTAAACATTGTTTTACAATTTTTTTAAAATTTTTAGAACAATCTACCATTTAATAGCAGAATAAAATTGATCCAACTAGTTGTGTACTTTTTGGCACCTGGACTCACAGCCCAGCTGAATATGACCCATTCCCAAACTGGCTGGTACAGCACTCTCTTTTGCCAGGGCTCGTAACTTAAAAGTGATCGCTGTGATTTCACCGTTTCCCTTGAATTCTTCAATTCAAAAATTTGTATTTAATATGCTGCTCTTTTTGGTGTTCCTTGAAGTTTGACAATTCAGATTTGTAACACTCCAGCTCTTCACTCATTACCAAACAGAAAGTTTAAGAAATAAAATTATTCAGTTAGCTATAATGCTGAAATTCACCTTGCATCAGTTAGTATACTTGCATGAATTCGAAGACTGCCTCCCCAACAGAACATCAAGAAAGAGTATATAAAAGTGCATTATGCCATTAACAGCCAGTGGTACATAAGTGACCTAGAGAAAATGTTATTATTTTAATTTTTTTAAATTTATGTACAATTTTCTTATTTTTGGAGGTAATATTTATCACGAAATATTGTATTTTATTGTGTTTCTTTTACTTTTGTTTGAGTTATTTATTTCACTGGCTTACAGGTCTCACATTATAGGATTTTAACTTAAATTAAACAATTCATAACTTTTATGGAGATGTGCATTTTGCACTTAATTTAAGAAGGAATAAAGTTAAGATACGATAACTATTGTGATAAGTAGACATCGGATGTTAAGCAATAACAATTTACAATTTTGGCACCTAAAAAGGCATTAAAAACTTAAATTGGGGGATGTTATACACTCTCTAGTCGGATGAGTAGAGAAGTTGTGTGGTCAGAAGATTGATTAATAAGAAACATGATTAATATATTGATGTAGTTGATATTGTTTGTTTTATGTGTTGCAGTAGAAGTACTATGTATTGTTTTCTATTCAAAGCAGAAGAAAAAGCTAATTATAAAAATGTTTTGTTTATTTGAAGAAGGGGTAGTATTTTCATACTGGTAAAGAAAATCCCAGAATCCAAATGATTAATTGAAATAAATATTTATTATATTAACCTTTGTCGATGCAACTCTGTAAGGATGACTTTTGTGGCCCACCAAATAAATTTCCTCACGACGGACATACCTTGGTGAACAGATATGGTATTGGTAGGAATAAATACCGTAAATAGATTGTATAAATAAATAATATTTCAAAGTGTAACAATTAGATGTTAATAATTAATAAATACCAGGTTAGTTCAAGAAAAATCCGCCAGACTATATTCAACATATGTATAAGAACACCTTACGGAAATGTGATGGGAGGGGTGTCCTTAATTTTGACATATTAACAACAATTTTGGTTGACATTTGATTAATCTAGAAAGAAGCTGCTTTACCTCCAAAAAGACATTTTTTTCTTCTTTAAAGTGTGAACAAACATTCATTATTAACATTCATTTTGTTTGTTTATTCATAAATGAGTAAATTTACCTTGTGCAATGTTGCACCAGTGGTTGAAAGAAGGATCCTTCAGGGAAGTCCCTTACTAGGCTAAACACTTAGGGGGTCACATTTGGGAAAATTTTGATCCAAAATTAGACATGAAATTGTGTGATGATCACCACCATATTCTATCTAAAGGGGTTAGAAACAAAAGTGCTAACTGTTTACTGTGTGAAAGACATTTCTGGGCAGATAGAAATTTGCTTCAGTTCTTCTGTGAATGAAGCTTCATACGTGGGAGTTTCGGCATATTACTGCCGTATGAACAACGTTCATTGAATGTTGAAATTTGGTGCAAATTTTAATTTTAATAAAGTTCAATTTTCCAAATTACCTATATTGTCCTTCCCCCAATCTTCGCTTGCAATTGTTTGGGACCCCTCTCCCAGCCAGAGGTGCATATTCTCCAATTGGGAGTTCTCGAGTTAGGGCAAACATTTTTTCACATTAAATTATTATTACTGGGCTTCAAAAATACATTCCTAAAAAATCACCCATCCCCCCCAATATTTCAAAATTTATTTAGCGAAAAGAAGTGGAGTACTGTCTGAGCACTCACCTTTTCTTGATCTATATTATTCTATATATATATTTCATTTCAAAACTGGAAAATTAATATCTGATCAAATTGTGTTTGCATACTTGTCTAAATCTTTTTGAAACTTTTATAATTTTAATTATCTGCATACAAATAATAAATGAAAAACAATTTTCTTGAAATAAAAATGTTGATATATATACTCAATCATAAAACCATAACCACACTGAGAGATAATACATATAGGAACATTGTAAAATGATTAACATTTGTACTTATATTACCGGAAAGTCAATCCATAGAGATTTGTCACCTGAGGTGAATGTGTAGATGCAATTGCTAAAAGCAGAGGAACATCATTTGCTTCCAGACCTAAAGACGATGTTAGGGTACCCAAATCACACAAATCTGTTGTCAGAAGAAGTTCTGCTAAAGCCTGGCTACGTAAGCATAGTTCACGTAACTTTGACTCAAGATGCTGAAGGCACTGCAAAGGGAAGCAAAAACGGATCAAGCCACATTAAAAAACTATATTCATAAAACAATTTAATATTACATTTTCACTCTCCCCTTACCTGCTCTGGAGGAGTTCTCAGTTTCCAGAGATGTAACAGAGACTCCAGCATATTAGCCACAAGTTGAGACATTCCAACACGAATTCCAAACCCTCCAGGTTTGTCAACAATAGACACATGACTTGAAACTAGTTGCACCTCCCTGAAACAATATTATGATAAATAGTTTTCATCAATATAGACACAGTCATCTTATCAGACAGTCACAATTTCAAGTATGTGCTGGATAAAACAATGAAGTTGTTAACCTTTAACAATTATTAAACAAAACAATTGTAAAGTATTCATTAATGTCCTTCTATGAAAGCTAATATGTTCCAGGTTCATTAATGAGGTGAATGAATCATTCATGAGCTTCTGTAAATGATAAAGAAGGAATAAATCAACTTGATATTCATACTGAACTGAGTTTAAAATCATGAAACATTTATTAAAGTACATTTATTAAAGTACATTTATTGCACAGCCAAATGAGCCTCTTAAAACATAAGTGGTTTAACTCTTTATTTTTACTTCCTCCCATACTACATATTACTATATAGAATTGAGAAAGTTATGAAATGCCATAACGAAAAAGGTGATTTTTGTCAGAAAAAATTGTATTGTAGATCCTATAAACCGAAAAAGAGGATAATTCTTCTTCCGATATGTATAGAAAAATTCTCCTAAGAATGGGCGAAAGTGACAGTTCGCTAAACAAGTGAACATCACATGTAAATCAGAGAAGTATCCCTCCGCCGCAACAGCTGCTCAACCACGCCTCTTCGTAAAGTGTTTGTTTATGGCTCCTGTTAAGACATCATGGATCCCAACCATGTAATTACATAAAAAATAAGTATATAACACCATGCTCTCATCACAGCTTGCCACCAGATAGCAGAAGAGCCAGAAACACATGCACCAGTACGCATCATTATTCAAGAGTCTGTTTTAAAAGAAACATAATACTTGTAACACAAAAAGTAAATTTCATGTAATGTTTATAAAAAAGGAATATTTACAAAAAAGCACATAGCACTGCACTTCCTAATTTCAATCCTGGCTGCTACTGAAGATGGTCACTTGTCAGGGAGATTTCCTGTTTTTTGCCACAGGTGACCGAAGTCTACAGGGGCTGGAGGAGCGCTTGAGGTGTTTCGGAAGTAGAGGACATGGACGAGACATTGATGACGAATTTTTGTTCGAAGGCAATTTTTGATCTTTAACTGACATCGATTTCCATAAGAGACTCAGTAGAAGTCATTGGTGGCTGGTGGAGATTCTTTACTAGATTTTTTTTTTAGGTATTATCAATTTTCCACCTTGAATGCACGACGTATCTTCAGGTAAGTCCAAAGGCGACACCTGACAACTGAACTTTGCTACTAGAGCGGAAGCATGTTGTCTGGCAACTTGCTGTTACATGCAAGGAGTTAGTCTTTAGGGCACTGGAGAACGATGGTAACAGGTCTATTGGATTTTTAACCTGTTGCCAGCCTCAGGGAAGGAAACCTTTTCAGCAACTGTGATCTTCTGAATCTCTCTCTCCTGGAGAAAGGCAGAGCTCTGATTGAAGGTGGCTGGATGGCCGCCTTCACAATTGACACGGTGTAGTGGTGTAGCGCAGGATTATGGGTCGTGCACTGAGGTACTGCACTGCCCGCACATTGGGCTCTCCGACATACGTCGTTGCTAGGTATGCCCAAACGTCTTTGCACTTGAAACAGCACTGATCCTCTAAAAACAGCCTCTTGAAACAGCGCTGAAGCTCTAGAAAATAAAACCGATCCTTTCCAGGAGGGATAAATGTAAGGATCACCTACTCTGGCTCTTTCCTTTTGAACCTATACACTTCAGTGACTTTTGAAGAAGGTAAGATCCTCATCACTCTCCAAAGGGGAAGTCTTCGTGATTTACCACCGCTTGCAGAGGTTCACGGTTCGATGCGTCATTACTACCACCTGAAGGCCAGTAATCAGCTTGGTATTTTGTTATAATCTTAATTGGCTAATTGTGCTTCACAAAGAATCATTCCATTTGTCAGTCCCATGACAGCTTGAAGCTTCCTGAATGCTCCCTCTATGGCTCGCGCCAGACGGGCTGCGCTTATATGTTTAAACGCCTTCACTTTTGGCACATGCCCTAAGAAGGAATTTTTTTGTTTGTTTGTTTGTTTGTCATCCTCCGTTACAAAAAAAATGTTAAGATCGACAGTTCATCATGGACATCTCCTTTTCCTGGCGGAATAGGGCGGGGGAAGTAGTTTTGGTTCCATATGTGGAACCGTGACTCATCTCTGTGCTCCCCGCCTACCATGGAGTCCAACAAGGGGGCACTCCACAGGGGAGATATAGAGGGGATGTCACAGCGCTCCCCCGCTCCCTTGAAATTCAGTACAAGATCTATTCCGAGTCGACTGATCGGGATGGTTTAGCTTCCCACTGCCTGTCTAGAAGAGTCCAAGGTCACAACTGAAACCTACAAGGAATGTTCCCCCAAATACGTAAATAACGGCCAAATACGCAAATCCTTAGGCGCAGAGCAGTAACATAGCACAAGCGGGTAGACCCCTCAACTGCCAGGAGACACATTCCGACACGCGCCGCCGTGCATGGCAAACACATGGGTGGGTGTTCAACACACAGGGGAGAGGGGAATAATAGCAATAGGACGTCATATAAGAAAGATAATTAATGATAGGGGAAAATGAAGATGACTGGAGAAAGAAATACTTGAAAGCCCTCCCTGCATCCTCCTGTCAGGTGGTGGACCGACCCTCTTCGACGGGCAGTGTAGCTGAAGACCTCCCGTTCTTTATAGTGCGGTGGCACCGTTGCGAGCGGATAGCCTTTCCGGAAAGGAGAGGGAGAGACATCGGTGACGGCAGAACGGTAAGAACTTCAAATTTCCCTCAGTGCGATGCACTGAGTGTTAAAAAGGGGTAGAATCAGAGACAAAGGCGAAAAAGTACCATGACACATTGAGGTAGAAAACTGAAGTCACAAAATAAATTTCCATTTTTGATGACCAGAGCATTTAACAGAAAGATAATCAGAAAGAGAATAATAATGCCCAACGAACCCATGCAAGGACTCTCACATGTGAAACCACACCCTAATTTTTCCTAACGGTATTGTGGAACTGAAGCTGGGGAACCTGAGGTCCCTTTCCATCGTAGATTTCTCCACAATTAAGTACACAGTGCTTATAGAGCACAGCAAAACGTTCAACAAATGGTTGCACTACACGCATAAGAAACTATCTTAACAGGTATCAAGCAACCATTTATAGTACTTCCAGTTGTTGCTGCGAGAGTGAATCTTGAATTAATAATTATGCAAATAAACCTAGTCAGTCTGCGCAAACCACGGAGTACACAGAAAGGGTAAATAGTATAAGATAGAGGAATCTAAGCCTTCAAATGTGACACAAATATGGCCACCATCACCAAGGGCTGAAATATAGGTCATGGATGAATATATTCTGTGTTTCTCCTCGTACATGTGGTATAGGTAGAATCAATAAGCATCAAACAGGCCAAAATGTAACGTTTAAGACTATTCATACTGTAGATTACGATGTGAGGAACCTTTCTATGAAGCATTTGGCCTCAAAATTTTAGTATTTAAGGCCATAGAATGCTTTGTTTAGGATTTATTTAATAATATAGCTGACTGAGTGTTGCAGGTTGCATTTGACATGAATATTTAGATATGTTTTTTAAACAAACTTCATATTTTTGAAGTCCAAATGAAATTTGTCGGATTTTGTTTCTTTTTCTCTTCAGGCGCACAAGTGCTGATAATTGTCAAATTTCCTTTATCGAATTTCAGCCTTATTGTTAGCAGTCTCATTTATTAATGCATATTCCTTTTTCCATTTTCTATGAGTACAAATACTCCACAATACGCTATTTTCGTTTGTGCAACTTCACTGTAAAACATGATATAATCTTCAAGTTCTTTAGTGCCTTTGCACTTGTTTTTTGTTCAGTGAGCACAGCTATATTGATATTATATTCTTTGAGGATTCTATTTAGTTTGGTTTCATTTGATCGTAGTCCTTGAACATTCCATGTGTCCACATTTAGTACATCCGTTAATACTTTATTCTTGTCCTTATCCTTGCCTGATCATTGTACTTGTCTAGTCTTATTCCGAGGCTCAGTGTGAGACATCTGAGTTATATTGCTTTTACATGTACAGGTTTCCAGCCTATAGCACAACTCTGAACCTGGAGGACAAGGTGATTTCTGATCAAGGATTCCTTCCTCTAGCCTTTGGCAGTCCAGCCACTATCTGCAAAGCAGCACATGTTTTACTTTGAGATTTTGTCCCCTAGAAAGACTGGCTACGCCTAAAGAGCTCCTTCCGCTTCTAAATTCTTTCCTTAGAGACCTCATTTATAACGATTTGTTGTGTGTGAGAGCTGCAAAAGGTATGTACACTACTGAAATAATATAGTACACTTCATGTACATTTGAAAAGGGAAGTTGTAGATATTAGATTAAGAATTTCTTTTGGTGGGTAACTAATAGTAAATGTTTGCGTGATGTGAAAAAATTGTGATGCTATTTCAGGGCCAACATGTAGAAAGTAGTAGCTAAGATGTAGAAGTAGAAGGAAAAAGGAAAAAAAGAGAAGAAAAATCTCGCAAATATATGTCATTTTCACAAAATTAATCAATTAATAAACAAATAAAAGATGTCAACTTACCACAATTCAGCATTACCAACAATGCACACTGCTTCGGAAATTTCTTGGTCCAGCATAGGCCGATGTGCAGAAACAGCCAAGTCATGCTTCAATGTTGCCTCCCAAAGAGGCAATGCCTGGGTGCAGCCATGTAATACCATGTCTGGCATATAGTGATCAGTCACACCTCCTAGAAGGGAGGCAGCAAGTCCAGAACCTTGTTCTCTTTGACTAGAGTTGCACCTGCAGCAAAATAGATTTTAAGAACACATCATTTTTGAATCCTCAACTTTTTTCTAGAAATGACTGTGACAAATATATTTTTCATAATATATCACATACCAAGGGAGAGGAAGTTCAATAAGCATTGGATGACTTTCAGTTTTTTGTGATACAACTTCCGACTCTTTTCCTTGTGATATTTCAGTGGAAGACAACAATTCATCGTCCGATAATGTTCCATATTCATCAAATAACGCGTTGCCTTCTCTTGCTTTAGTCTCAATAGTTAAAGACTTCTCTTTACAACCATGTTTGTTGGTAATATCACTGTTGCACACACAATCATACATATCACTACTATGTAATACTGTAGTTTTTAAAATCCTATCTTTTCTATGTCCACACTTTTCACAAATTTTGTCCTGAAATTCAAAATTGCCTCTGGCTTCAGAAATTTTAATAGATTTCTTTTCGGGCAGTGAAGATTTGTCAACACCAATTCCATCCACATAATCACTCAAAATCCCATCACACCGTTCAAAATTAAACCTGACACTATGATAGTCTTTCAGATATCTGTCATTAACATGCGTATTTACACTATGTCTTCTACAAATACCCACAGATTTCTTGCAAGATAAAGACTTTCTATCAGGAAAAGACAAACTCTGAGACCTTGCAATGTGTTTTGATACTTTTTTTCCTACAACTGGAATTTTAGTATCTGAATTTACATGAACATCTTCAAGCTCTATTATAAATGAATGAGAAGTAACTACTTTTCCACTAGAATTACCACTATTGACCTTATCATCACTCTTAGGATTCCCATTAATATCCTCAACAAATGAAACGGGCATTAGAGTGGAAGAGTTTTCACCATCACTTTTGTTCGTCCTTTCATTCTTCCATACACTAGTTCTATCACACACAAACTCCTGTTCCTCATTTACAATTTTACGAGCAATTGCAACTTCTAACCCTACACCAGAATCAACACCTGTCTCTTCACAACCTGAAAAACACTTCACAGATGAATCATTATTAGTTGGTCTTCGAGTATTAACTTCTAGGTTTTCACTAGCTTCAGCACATTGGTTGAAATTTGTGATATTGGTTTGAAATGAACTAGCTTGAACTCCCAAAAACTTGGAATTATTTTGACACTCAGACAGACCCTCCAGAGATGGATAACAGCTTGATTTTTTCATCGCACTTTGTTTAACGTTTATTGTTTCACTGAACAGGACATTATCACTCATGCTCTTTGGTAAACTAATCCCATCTTGACTCTTCAGATCAACTAACTCTTCATTATCACCTAGAACAAATATAACACCACCTGCAGCTGAATGTGAATTAGAATTGTCATCCATCTTAGTCTGATATTTTTGTGCCATATTATGTTCAATCGACATATCAAACTTCTCTCTATTTTTAGTCTGTAAAGAAGAAAACTGTCTTTCACAATCCACTTTTCTAGGTGGAAAATGTTCCAAAGGTTCCACTTTGGGTTCTTCATTCATCAAATGATACAAAAGTGCATTTGTTGGTACCCTGCACAATCGGCTGACTTTCTCTGAAATGACATCAGGATTAAGATATTCACGGTCCACATTTAATAAATCAGGATACAATTTTGATGAATTTTGAGAGAGGCTGAATCCCACTTCTGTAGAAGTATTGATAGAATTCAGGTAAGAATTTGTTTTCTTGAAGTTAGTATCACAATGAGATTTGGATGATTGAATTTTTGAGGAAAGTTCCAATTCTACTAATTGTTCCATTAAGAAGTCACTTCTTTCCCTTCCTTCACTGTTTATATTTCTTTTGGAATCATTAATTATATTTGAATCTTGCCTTCCAAAATTTGCACTGTCATCAGGCACAATTGTCGATGTAGATCCTGTGCTAGAATTTAGATTAACTGATGAGACATTCTCCAAAACCGAATCCAGAATATTTGATTCATTATCAACACCAATTTCACTATCAATTCTTTTCTCAATATTTCCACTTCTTATGAAGTATGAAAGAGAAATAAGTAATTTATTTAAAAGGTCACTTTTCTTTCCATTTGCGGTGACAATAGTACGAGCAATTTTCACAGGATTTCCCAAAGCTCCGTGCAGATCTCCCAGTTGAGCCCACAATGCATTGTATGGATGAGATTTTGCCAAATCATGAATCTGGAAAGAAAGAAAAAATATGTATAAAATATTACATAAAAATGACAGTATGTGTATTATATACTAGTATGTGCCACATAAACTTAATGAGTGATAGTTTCCAAACTTGCTACAAATACTTTTGTGTGGTCAAGAAAACAAAATAGCCCGGTAACAGTAAAAAAAGAATCAACCCCCAGTGCATCTGGGGAGCAATGTTGCCTGGCCCTGCCATTCATGGAGCTTGGTGGAGCGTGTGGAGCAGAACGAGCACGGAAAACAAACGAAAGGAGTCCGAATAAAAAAGTGGTGCTACAGAATGGCACAGGCTTTCCCTCATTAGTTTTCTATTCCCTTTGGTCTCGGTTAGCTATTCGAACTCACCAGCTGCCATCTAGTGTAAATATTATTGACTGAGACACTAGTCAAAAAATTACATTTTTGTAATTTTTGAAAAATTAAAAGTATAGAGCAATATTGCATTTATGACACCTCATAGAGTTCATTAACACTTTCCCTACAAAAAGTTTATGGGAAAAACTGTAAGCCGTTTCAGAGAAAACCTTGTTTTTGTAATTTTTTAGAATAATTCGAAAATTATTACAATTTTCAAAAAAATGTACGTGACCTTAATGAACGAACTGATTATTGATAACAAATTTCATTCGAAAGAACCATCTTTATCTTCAATTTCAAAGTTGTAACACAACGTCAAAAAAATATAATAAGATTTTTGAAATTTTCAAAAATTCAGAGTTAACAGTGAAATATGCCACATTTATGGATGTATTTTACTCTATTCTTACAAGAAATTTAAAGAAAACATTTGAAGCAGCTTATTAGAAAATTTTGAAAATGTCCGGGCATCATGTACAGAACCCCCAAATTTTAAAGAAAGTTTTTCAAAATTTCAATCTTCATCTCGAGCCCGATAGGTAGGGGCTTCTTCAATTTGAAAAGAATCCTACGCGTAGTTGGACGCTACTGGTGTTGGTAGACAGACGCTTCGAAAAGAACCACTTTTAATAGAACCACCCCAAAACATGTATTTTGCTGCTTTTAAAAGTAATACTACAATTAATACTACTTTTAATAGAAAACTTTAATTGTTTATAATAAAATTGTATTTATTGAAGTGTTATAAATGATATATTTATTAAATAAGTAATATCTATGTACAATATAAAATTAGTATAAGTATAAAAAAATACAATAGTACAAAATTTCACAGAGGTACTTTTGAACTTCCAATTTTTTAAATGATTCTCTCTAAATCTGGGGTAACCAACAGGGTCAATATAGACCTTTGAAATACTGAAGAGGATTAATGATGACCAAGATGTCAATGGTGGGAAAATAACTAAATATGAACTTGTGTCTGATCAGTATATTTAAGATCGCATTGATTACAAAAATCAAAACAAACGCATAATTGTTTTCTGATATAATGCAAAAAACCTCCAATAATAAATTACAAATTTGTTATTCTTTTAAATTCATTGTTCATATTTAGAGTTTGGAATGTTTGGAAAATGCAAGAAATTATAACTATCAGAATGGTAACTATTCAGAATGATACTCTAAAGCACAAGAGTGCAATATGCACTGGAGAAACGTTATTGTCTGCACTGGAAAACCACGTAACACTTTGTAACCTTTGCATTGAACTGGAGTATAGGAACTCAGCTGCATGAAAAGGAAGCCTATTCAATGATTGAAAATCAAGCTATTTATGAGAATACGGGTGTTCAAACTTGTTTTTGATGCATTTATGTTCAATACTTTGTGTCTTAATTATGATTGCTGTGTATTATAGAGAAAGTGTAAAGAGATCGATAAAGTAAACAATTCTCTTAAAAGGGGTGCTAGAACACAAAGTTTTGGAATCCATGCTCTAAATCAGTATCATGACAGATTTTACTTTCAATTGATATCATTGCTAGATCTGTCAATCTTTCCTCTGCTGTGGTTGATTGTAGACATTTTTAATAATTTTAATTTTGTAAATTATCTTTCTCTAGTGACTACTGCAACTAGCAGTGCAAATAAAATTTGTAATAAGACAATAATATTAGGAAATGACCCAGTTAGTTTATTTTGATATATACATTCTAACACTTGCAATAGTGAAGACTTTGATGTGGGATATTTCATGACTATATTGAGGTCATCTGAAAGTTCCATTGCTTTTATATCGTTTGGTCTATCTGTATCAGATTCATCAGTACTGTACAGTACAATTTGTACTCTCAACATCATGTTCCTAAAAGAACATAGTTTTCTTTTTTCACCCGCTTGAACATGGGGAGAAATTCGCATCTACATCGCACGAATTAGCAAGCTGCAGTGCTCAGCATTTCATCATAATATTATTGCACTATGTCTGAAACTTCGTTTTAAGGCGAGTTAAATTTTCAATATACGATGAGATAGGTCAATCAGGACTTTGCAACATTTTTCAGGCGATGTTAACTGACTGCAAGATTTCACAACACATAACAAGGGAGTAAATAATTTGAACATTTTGTAACTTTTCCAACGAGCATTAATTTTTATATCTAATTAAAATATTGTAATTTTGGTCATCACGGTTTCCTCAAAGGCAAATTTTGCATAAACCAAATCGCAATGTTTTGATATTTTCAATACAACTTTTTCATCAAGTAGTAGAAATGGTGTAAATTGAAAGATATTTTTTGGTTAGAACATTCCATCTTTTGGTTGATAGTGAGAAAATACAAATAGGTTTTGAATTATAAAAAAGAAGTTTATGACAAGAAAATTTAATTTTCCTACATCATTAATTACCAAATGGAGAGTAGTGGCACAACAATGAACAAAAAAAGCTCTGGGATTTACATTTAAAATATGAGCCTGCAGACAGCTATTTTTCCTGTCTTATTTGCTCCATTATCATACCGTTGACTACTGTCCCAATAGCGCTATTTCAAGTAGTAAAGGAATTTAAACATTTGAGTAACTCGTGCAGATGGATCTGATGACAATAACATTATTAAAAAAATACGCAAGAGAAGGGCAATTACTACCATACTTCATAATATTTTATGGAATGAGAATATTAGAAAGCAAACCAAGAAACATATAGTTCTGTTGCGTATGGATCAGAAATTTGGGTTTTAAAGGATGAAATAAAATCTTGTTTAAATGCTACGGAAATAAAATTTGGGAAACAATGTTGACAGTATACTCTGATTGATAGAGTAACTAATGAAGAGATTAGACAGATAAAGCAGATAGAGAGACAAGAGATAGAAAATATAGAATTCCAAAATCTCCGATGGTAAAGCCATCTAATAAGAATGCACGTTGGCAGAATACCAAAAATAGTCTTTGAGCGGATCCCTTTTGAAAGAAGAAAATAAAGAAGGCTGTGGATATCTTGGAAGAATGTCACCATTGCACCAATGAAGAATAGAAGATGCCAGGAGGAATTTGCACTTAAAAACCTGTAATGTTACATGTTAACAATGCTAACAGGGGTTAAAGATGCATGTGACCAATAAAATAAATAACAGACCAATGCCGAAAATCAGCTAGTGATATATGAAATAATAAGATTTACCATCTGCACAGCACAAGGAGGCTTTGTCACACTACTAGGAGGCGCTTTTGCAGGCATGATGGTAGCTACCCATCCCAAATGATGCGTCAACACTGCTGTTACCAGGGTACTGATGAAACTAGAAAACAAGGGAAAATCATATAAATCAAATACATAATATTAATTTCGTTGATTAAGTTTAATATTTCACTAATGGATTTTGGGTGTCTTTCATTTTCCTAGAATAATTTCTTCCATCAAATTATAATTTTTCATCCAAAAGACTCCAAACTACCCCTACTTACAAATTTGTAGATTTTGTGTCAATTGCAGCAATTAATTGACACAGGTCTCTCAGAAACACTGTCATAATGTTGCAACGAAATCGAGAGCCATTACAATGACTTTCAGGAGATACTAAGCCTATCCATACTGGATGTAAAAGGCGTGGAGCAGTAAACAAATCACACAACCACTGCAACAGAATAAAAAATACTTCCTCCAAATCACTTTACTCAATCTTGGAGGTGCTAATTTAATAGGAATATTATCTCTCACCTGCTGTATATTATGGAATGCTTCCATCATCAAATGCACAAAAACATCTTTCTTCACATATGCTTTTTCTACACTGCTTTGCAAACGTTCAAGCATACCTTCTATTACAGCCATATGTTCAAAGAAGAAAATTTCCATATCCCTAAAATGAATTGGAAATGCACAATATTGGTACACACTACTAGAAGCTGAAATAATATAAACTGATAGATTTCCCAACTCACTTCTCTTGTTCTAAAGAAACATTCATAACTACTGTAAATCCAAGTTGAGTTTTGCGATGCATACGACTTGCGACTTCATCATTTACTCCAGAAGAATTCTTCCTTCTAATAAAATGCCACGGAGAACATGCTATTCCATGCTCAAGAGTCGTACTAACATTTTTCATCCATCGTCGCTGCAAACTTGCTAAACTACCTCCTGAAGTACTACTATTGCCTAATGTAGACTGGGAAGCTGGAATTAGAACTTAACTATAAAATCAAACCATTACACAATTAGATTGAAAATTGATCTTTGATACTTTACAATGCTTACCACTTCGAGAATCACAAACATTTGGATAAGGGCCCCATAACCCTGAGCCAACACTGCTAATTGAACATAATGATGCATCACCACAAAATCCACTGTCTCCTTCCAAGCTACTCATGGGAGCTTTCCCCTTGGAGTCCGAGCGAGGAACATCTAAAGGACCGCTAGAATTACTTGGTGCTGAAATATTACACAGTAATTTAACAATTGGATTGTAACTTCATAACACAAAATATTTATAAATTAATCCCAGACCAAGTCATCACTTTAACAAACTTACTCAATTTAGCTTCATGATTTCCACTAAGAGAAAACAAGGAATCATTAATTGAACTGATGGAACTCCCACTGGAATCGATACTTTGGTCACTGCAATAAACACAACAATTTCATTCAAAACTTCTATTTCATTCTCTACCAAAATATAACCCATTAAATTTACAAAAATGTACCTTGCACGTTTACTACTAAAGGAGACTGAAGGAGCATGAAATACTCTAGAGCACATTAAACGATCAGGTGATTTCATGCAATGAACTTTACATACCATGCCTTTAAAAGTCATGGCTACAGAACCAAATATCATTTCACCCATTAAATTAACATCAGAACTTGGTCTTGTATACTGTAAAATGAAACATTCAATACTTTTTAAAAGACATATCGTAGCACACTTTTCAGAATATACTACAGAATTAGTAGTTTGAGAGGGATGGAGAGAGCTCATGGAGCTTCAGCCCCCACCCCACTCACATGTCAAAGAAATGTATTAACAAATCTCGTTTTTACTATTTTTTTTTTTTTTTTGTAATGATAGTCACTCAAGAAGCAAATTGAATATGTTAAAAATAATTACAATATAAACAAATAAAAATAAATGTTAAATAAAATATAAATGACATTTTCTTGATCAGAAAACATCAAGTCAACTAAACACAACACCAAAGCTCCCCTAAGAAAAAATGTGCTTTTGCACCTGCTCATAACTATAATATTATTACATCATTCATAATAAAAGTAATAGCTACATGTGATTATTTTCACAAAAAAATTGTCAAACAGACCAAAACTTCATTTGTTATTATAAATTATTTTTTAAGACATTTTATTTTGATACTGCAAAATATTTATTTCATCACTGTAAAGCAATATGCCACCTTAAATTGAAGTCTGCGGCTTATGACACTAGATACTTTAATAAGGATATCATTAATGGATTAAACTAAAAACAAATCTGGCCAGAACAAACGATTCAATATTGACAGAATCAGCAAGCAGTAAAATACTAGAAGTTTTTCAGCAAACGTGTATTTCCTTGCATGCCTATCGTTGGTTCAAGTCATATCAAAGTAACTACGACATAATAAATGCAACCAATATGGTCACAAAAATGGAATTTACCCAAGTATACATACCTGATAACCAACTCCATTTGTGACTTCAACATATGCTTCAGTCCTCTTTGGATTATCACATTTTGGCTTAGATCCAAGTCTTGATTTTGAACACTGAGTGTTTTCAATCACAGTCTTAAGAACTGCGCTTGAATCAAATAATAATTTTCGCCCCCGAGCATCGCACTCTCTGAACAGCAACAATCTCACTTGCTCCCGCGAGAAGTTGAATGGTTTCCAACTATGAAAATTCAAACGAGATGATATCACATTGGCGTAAGAACTACATAACATCTTAAGTATTTGGAAAAACGCCAAGATGATCACAAGAATCACGAAACTTACCCTGAATGATCACTTTTTCCAAATGGGACATAACCTTGCTTATGACTTTTCTTCTTATTAGGAAAAAACCTATTCAACAAAGCCATTTTCGTGTGCTCTACACGAACAAATACAAGGAGTATCGTCACATCTTCAACTTACGCTGTTTTACTCCAAGTTCGAACTAGATCTATATTTACGTACGAATTAGACTGTAAATAAACGTCACGTGTGTAGCTTTCACAAGTCCAGTCATATGATTTTTGGTCACTTGCTGGCAAAACATTGGTAGAAGTGGCAACCTGCAAGTTAAATATTTTCCCAAAACGATAGATTCTAATATACTTAATATAATTTAAATGTCCCAAATAAATAAGACAAATAGCATTCGTTCTGATAACGAACTGAGAACTGATCATCTTTCACTTTCGACTCTCAGGAGTTCTCCGGCAATTCTTAAGTATTGTAGTTACTTGCTTCATAGGTTGGCAAAGTGAGCCGTCATCTTCATATAGTTCTTCAGTTAATCCATAGAGGGCGAAAACATTACGTTCTTGAGACCTCCAAGCAGAAAGTAGGTCAGACCGTGGTCAGGCCATTCACAGAACTTTTCTTGGCATTTCATTCAATAATACTTAATCTAGAGTGTTATTGTGCTCTTGTACCAACTAGCAGACGTGTTCTATGTTGCACTTGCGGAATTTATAATGGAACCGCAGTGACATGCAATCGATTCTGTGTACGTCATAATAAACCAGTGGTGCTACGGAATGGCACAGACTTTTCCTTATTAGTTTCCTATTTCCTTCGGTCTTGGCTAGCTATTCGGACTTGCTGCATACTCTCGTTAACAGCCATCGATCGCCGCCCAAAGGAAATTTTTTTAAATAAACAAAATCCGTTTCCTAATAGTAAAACGGAAGTCTTACTTTAAGAATATTAAAGGATAGTAAAACTTCGTTCTAATGGAAATTATCTTTGGAAAATTTTGAGCTGTTTTTAAGAAAATGTCTTTTAAGCACTACTGTAAATTCGAAATTTGAACCTCTTTTCACTGAAAACTATTGAGTTTTCGAAAAACTTCATTTGAAGTCATTTCAAGAGCATTCAGTCACAAATGCAATAGTGTTAAAAAATCGCTGGAAATGTGCATATTAAAGGCGTGAGAGATATAAAAAAATACATTTGCGTACTGTTTGAAAAAGAATAGAATAGCGCAAAACTAATTCTATGTTATCTCAAACAATGCAGTTAGCACTTTTCGTTTACAAAGTTTGAAGATAAAAATTAGAGCTTTTTTGCTTATTGAGAAAATAGGGTTTTAGCGTTTCTGAAAACGCGTAATTTTGAGCCAACATTTACAGGAAACGGTTGAATTTTCGAGAAACTGACATTATTTAAAGCATATGAACTCATAAATAAATTAAAGTGAACAATTTGCCGTTAATGTAAATACCAATGACGTGAGAGACAAGTTAAATTAGTATTGTAATTTTCGAAAAAACAAGAAAAAAGAGCAATATGGCGTTTATGTTATCGTGTAGAGTACATTTAGTACTATCCTTACCAAAATTTTAAAGAAAAAATTGGAGTCTTTTTGACAAAATCTAGTTTTGTAATTTTTTTAAATTGCAGAAATTGCTAGCAATATTGCGCGAAAACTACTAAATTTTTCAAAAAATGTACATAACCTTAATGAAAGAACTCACTACGGAGAATATATTTTATTTTGAAAGGAAAAATCTCTAACTTCAATTTTATAGTTGTAGAAAGACGCCATAAAAAATTGAAACTATGGAATTTTCAAAAATTAAGAGTTAACAGGGAAATTGGATCTATGCTACCTTCATTATCTATATAAGTGTATTTTACTCTATTCTTACAAAAAATTTAAAGAAAAAAAATTGGGACCGTTTTTGTGAAAATTTTGAAAATGTTCGGGTCCTTCATGTAAAGTATCCTCAAATTTTGAAGAATGTTTTTCTATATTGCGGCACCTTGAGTCGAGTCTACTACTCCGTAAGGATGAAAAGTACTAAAAGAACAGAGAGGAAAAATGGACAAAAGAACAAATGGATAAAAAGAACAAAAAGTTAGTTACGACCTCTCCTACTCGCAAAATAAAAGGTCACACTTGGACCATAAATAACTATTATAGTCTGTAGATCGTGTTTCCAAGTATATCGATAACAAATTCATTATCAGAATAAAATATGTTATTCGGAAGTTTTCTTTAGGCGTATCATTTTCACAGAGCATTGCCATAGTTAACTTGCCTCTTCTTCACTTTTTTTTCCAGCTGTCGCAACTTTATAGTCAACATTCGGTAAGTCTTCTACTGCTTTTGGTCGATATACTCAAATTGGTTTCAAGTATTTTGTACAAATATTACAAGTGTGGAGTATAGCATCGAACATGTAGTGATAGACATCATTGAATCTTGAAGAGTTTTAGATACCTAATGGAATTCATTTAAAGTTTTACCATAGCTTCAACAAAAAACAAATTCAAAAGATTCCATTTTGTCAGAAATAGAAGAAGATTCAAATCTCGTGTCTGCTTTCTCTTCTTTCTTTTCAAAAATACTATGTAAGGTATTGAAAATATTATCGATGCTCTAATCAATAGTTGTAACAGCTTCCGAATGGCAATTCCTTCTAGTCAGGCAAACGTCTTAGCTTTAACGCCTTTGCTCCAATACATTTCTCTAGAAGTGCCCAACGATGTATGGATGCCGAAAAAAAAAAAATTGTAAGCATCTTGAACTGTAGAGGAAAAATCACTGCTTCCAAGCATGCATTAATAGCAGCACGTCCAACCAAATTTAACGAATGAGCACGGCAGGCATATTTATTTATTTCGCATGCATACCTTTGTATCGTTCTGACATGTACGAGGCAGTCATATGACTGTCCTCTATAATTCTTAAAATCGATCACACCTTTTTCTAAATAATTTAATATTGAATTCGCTTAAGTATGTCCTTGTAATTCTGCAAACGTTAAAAGTATGGACATAAATATGACTTCATTATCTGTGCACGTCTTCTAGAGTACGGTGGGAAATATATTATTCAAATTATCGTTCTCCATTGTGCCACTTCAGGAATTATATTCCTTCACAAAGGACATGATGAGGGGCAAGGGCCCTAATCTACAGCTGATTTGCCCTTGAAAATATATTTTATTATTCGAAGCGAATATTTTGTTAACAATTTTCACTAAAAATGCTAATTTCTTTCTGTATTCAGAACTCAACTTATAAATGACCACAGTAAGATATATTTCTTACACCGTGAAATGGTTTAGGCTAGGGATCCCAGAATTAAGAAAACGTACACAAAATACCCTTTTTACCCCGTAGTACATCAAGCACAGTTTGTTTTTGACCTAAAATAAATAAATAGACACGTAAATTAAAATAAATAAATAAAAAATAAAAATCTCACAACCAGTTTTCCGTTTCCAGGTGACACGTATTGAGTAACAACCGTAAGTTGATCAACGTGCGACAAGTCTCACGTCGAATCGACTGACAGATTAAACATCGTGCGAGCTAAATATCTTAAAATATGGCTTGCCGAAGTTTTTCAGCTATGGGATGGATAATCTCGTTGCAAATGATTTTTGATAAATAAGGCGTTTCCCGACCCACAATTGTTATACTGCTCGATATTAGGTTTAAGAAAATGATCGAAACTTGCTATTAACTGCAGTTAACATCAACAATCCAAGACGATTGCAATTGTTTGGTTAGCCAATAGTTTCAGTGCTGCCAAGAAAAGCTAAACCTCTATCCGGTAAAGTACAAATAACAGCTATTACTGTAGACGTATCACGTAGTCGTGACGAATTGCACTTTTGCTTTAAAAATATGAAGGATTTGTTTAATAAACGCATTTAAATATTCATGCCAAATGCAACTCGCGGCACAAAGACAATTACATCGTTAAATAACTTCTAAACAAAGCGTTCTAGGGTCTTAAAAACTAAACTTTTGAGGCCTGCCTCTAAGAAACACCGTGATATAATTCTTATATTCATAATCTTACACCGTAATATACAGGAAAATATATTCTTGAACGCTATTAAATATTTGCTGGTTTGGTACTTATCGATACTACCAATGTCACCTATATTTCAACTCTTGTGGCTCTCTGCTTGAGGCCATCTTTGAGTCGTCACACTTAGAAGGCTGAGATTCATATATCTTATACTATTTACGCTTTTGTACACCGTGGTTTCTGCAGACTGACGAATTTTATTTTTATAATTATTTATTCAAGATCCGCTCTCGCAGTAACAACTAGAAGTACTATTAACACTTGCTTTGTATCGATGAAAATTGTTTCTTATGGGTGTAGTGAAAACATTTATTTAACGTTTTGCTGAGGTCCCCAAGTGCTGTGTATCAAATTGTGGAGGGATGTGGGTGTACAGTGAAGAGTGAAGCTGTGTCTTTTTACGTTTTGTTTGTGCTGAACCTGTATTTTTGTTATCAACGGTGATTTGGTGAAGTAAAAAAGCGAGAAAGTAAAAACAAAATTAGTATTGGCATTTTCAATAGTAAATTATAATTTGATGGATACTGACATCACCAAAGAGTTTTTCTTGGTTTTTCGATTTCTTAATAGTAGAACGTAAATATTATTTTAAGAATATTAAAGAATAGTAATACCTCGTCCTAAACGGCAATTTTCTTAGAAAAATTTGGAGCCTTTTAAAAAAATGGTGTTTAAGCCTCACAGTGAATGCAACATGTGAACCTGTTTTCACAAAAAACTATTGAGTTTTCAAAACACTTTATATGAAGTCATTTCAAGCACTTCCAGTCACAAATGCAATAGTGATTACAAATCGCTGGAAATGTGCATATTAAAGGAGAGAGATCCTTTAAAAAAATTACATTTGTGTAATTTTTGAAAAAAAAATGATAGAACGATATGGCGTTTATGTCATCTTATAGCGTGCATTTAGCACTATAATAACCGAAAGTTTAAAGAAAACATTTGGAGCTGTTTTTGAGAACATCATGTTTTTGTAATTTTTAAAATTTGTAAATATTGCAGGCAATATTACTCGAAAACGGCTCATTTGCCTAGAATTTGAAACATTTTTTGCAAAGAATGTGTCAGATTCATCTGTAATTAAATCCATAGAGACAATTCACAGTTGCAGTGTATATTACTCCGTATAATACGTACGTATACGAGAAATGTAAACATCTTTCTTGTATCAGGAGGCCCAAAATGCGTATTTTCGTTGAAATCTCGAAATCGATTTTCTGCAATCTTACATAACTTTCTTACACTGCATATATTTCTCCGCATGTAGGCAAGAGAAAGCGAGCTTCTAAAATTTACAATAGATTTGTTTCATACAAAACTACCTTGTTTCATTGATCGCCTTTTTTTACTTGTTTACTTAAAGGAAATTCGTAAGAAGAGAAAGTTATATCATCGGAAAATGGCTAATTTTTATTCGAAGTCGTGAACTTCACAATACATGCTTTTTTCAAATTAACTCTTGATTCTATTCCTCGCTACTGCAGCCTGGAAGCGCCTCAGTTCCTCCATTGAGCAGAACTGTGGTGTGGTATGCGTTTTCGCCAA